GGGGGGGGGGGGGGGGGGGGGGGGGGGGGGGGGGGGGGGGGGGGGGGCGGACGACGTTATTTTTAACATAACAGAGGGGGGTTAGAACTAATTTTTTTTGTTTTAGAGGGGGGGTACTGTCTAAGTTTTTGCTAGATAACTCTAGTTTTTCAGCCCCCCCTCCTGATAATTATTGCACAGTCCCTTAGCACGAAAATACTAATTGGGGGCACTATATTTTAAGTCTCCAACTGGAGACGGGACCGCCATTTTACGTGGTCATCCGAGCCACGCGAAGGTCTAGCCTGTTACAGTGCAAAGGGAGTACCTCCATTTCTCGGTTATTTTAAGACCCTGAGTATTGGTCCGGCCCCAGGAATAGAACCCGCGACGTCCCGCTCTGCAGTCAACACGCTCTACCGACTGAGCTAACACTGCCGCAGTAAACTGAACTCAACTGATTTCTTTACTGCGTACTGAGTCAAAACAACTCTCTGGACTACATAAACCAATGCCAGACCGGTAAAGGCTAAAAGAAAACTAGGAACCGTTCAATAAGCTATGGTTCATAAAACAGAAATAAAGTTTTCGGATATTACGCACTATCCCGAAAAGCTTCCTTGTTGAGGAAATTAAACCATCTATTGCCCAGCTTTTTTTCCGTGGAACTTCTCCATCGCCTTAATCCTCGGACGTACAGGGAATGGTCGGGGGTACATGCCACCCCCTCCCCCTCCATTTACCCCCCTTTCCGTTTTTTTCTTAGATATATTTTATCAAGAGGATTTGGGCACCTGTCTGTTGCTATACTGAGTGCCATGCAAGCAGTCCGGGAGATATCCATTTCTGATTTCTGGATATATGTATCGTGCGTGGTGATTGGTTGAGGTAAATTTGACCGAGATATACTGGAAATGAGCAGAGGTTCAACAAATGGAGGCCATTTCTAATGTGACGAAAAATTCGGCCGAAACAGAATTCAGTGATAACCTATGGAGAAACCGTTCTGGTCAAAATTATTCCAATATTTTTGCCAGTGCAACACTTTTTATAAATCTGTTTTGTATTGTTGTCATCACCACATAACACTTTTTTCAGCGTTTTGGTAATTATTTTGATCAGCATGTTATATTGTTTATTTAAGTCTTGTAAGTTTTTTTTTAAAGTTCTACAAATATACTGATTTTTTTTTATAGTTTTACAAATATTTTTTTCATTCGTACCACGGATTATTTTCAATGGTACTGCGAATTGTTTTACTTTTGGCCGATACGAATTATTTTTTCGTTGGGCTGAGAATTATTTTTCGCGGTGTAGCGTATTTATTTTTTGGCCTACAGTACATTGGCTAGAGTGCCTTTACGACATTTATCGACAGTAGAGATAGCCAATAATGCCATAACAGAGATAAATCAATCATTGTCATGATTTTGACCAGAACGGGCCTCCAAAGAGCGTGAAATTTTCACTGTTAGATCTAAAGATTGAAATTCTCTGACGGTTTCTTCATTCGAAGTAACGAATGTTATTCACTGACACACCGTAAAGCAAGGACAAAAGTTACCGACTCCTGTTGGCTTCACTGAGTTGTTTTCGGTCATGTGTTTTTGAATGTGCAAATAATTTTCTCTAGTTTTAGAATTATTTCTCTTTCGAGTTTTAGATCAGGGCCGGGTAGTTCAAAAAGTAGCCTGCGCACGACAGACGTTTCTCCTCGCTCATCGCCGCTGAGGAACGTTTCGCGAGGAGGAACGTCTTCGACTCAGCGACAGAAATTCCATACTGATGACGCAAAATCTGTCTGGAAGCCTGTTAGAAGCGCCAGTTGGTCGACAGAGTAGATTCATTGTTTTAGCTATTGTTTACAAATGACAGAGAGAAGACAAAAGACCACAAGGTCAAATGTAAACGCGATGAATCTCCAACAAAACAGTCAATATTTGTGGGATATAGTCTTCTCTAAAAGTAGCATTTGAGTTTTGCTGGAGCTCATTCGCAGATGAACACAAAACTTTTCCAAAATCGACCAGGAGAAACGTAAAATTGAACAAATTCGCATTTGAAACCCCATGACTACCGGATTTATTATGTACACATAAATTTACGTCATCAGTATGGAAATTCTGTCGCTGAGTCGCAGACGTTCCTCCTCGCGAAACCTCTCTCAGCGGCGATGAGCGAGGAGAAACGTCTGCCGTTCGCAGGCTATTCGAAAAGTTGATAACACTATTCACTGGATAAATCTCTATCCAGTGGATAGAGTAATTTCTGATGGATAGAGATTTATCCAGTGGATAGCACTATCTAAAGTTTGAACAACCCGGGCCTGCAGAACGTCTAAAACTATTGGCGATTAATATTTTATTTCGACGTTGCAATTACCCGTGAAGTGAATCTTTACAAGACAAAATGCCTGTACGCTTCAGATGAATCCACCCTCTGTTAATCTAGTTAATACAAAGCTAACTAATAAAATATTTTGGAACTTTGTCACCCCCTCTACTCTGCTACGCGTTCGAGCTACACAACTACGGGAAGCAGGTTCAGGCAAGCAAAAATCGGTATTGACTAAGAAAAATCTCTCCTAGGGCACCTTTGGGCATGGTTATTTACGGAGTTGCACGTTCGCATTTGCCATTATAACTTTTTTCACGAAATTTCAATACTTCTTTAGCGACTATGGTGATAAAAATATTGACATTACAAATAAAAAAATCGCATTTATAAATAAAGACGATAACTTCTGTAAGTATGTTAAGATAAGAATTATGATGCGTGAATAGACGATAAATATTATTAGTATATACTAAAACAGTGGATAGTGTTTTTCGCGCGCTCTGATTGGCTACTCAATCAGTGAATTTCCTGCACTATTCACTAATTCACCTCCAGTTCCCCCGAGCGAGCGACGCCAAACCCTCGTAAGTTGCGAGCAAAATGCCTTCCCTGTTTGCTGCCGTAAACAAACAAAGAAATTTCACAACTAATCAAGCAAGCTGTTTCCGAAATACACGAAGAAGGTGACGAAGATCGGATTGGAAGTTTTAACAGGTAAAGCTTTGTCTTTTTGACACGAATTTATCGATAAAACCGGTGAAAAAGTTTTTTGTTTACAAATGCAAATTAAGTTTAAGTCTTGCTTACTTTATATAGTTGAGTTGTTCATAAATAAGCTTAAAACTAAATTTAATAATCTTTTTTACAGAATGATTTTAAATACAAAAAGAATTCACAACTCCTTTTGAAGAAATTTCCCCGCAAGGGCTAAACAAATGCCTTCAAAAGTTTTAATTGTCGGCAAGAAAAAGCGACGGCCGCGGCCGCTCGGTCATTACGCGCCAAAATTGTAATCGTTGGCAACAGTATTTGAGTTAAAAATCGTCATTTTTGTGCTCAATTATCTCACTGTTTTAGTAGATACTAAAACAATTATTCACCTCAGTGTCGGTGGCTAGTCGTGGATATTAACCTCACTGCTTCGCAGTTCGGTAAATAACCAGGACTAGCTACCTCCACTTCGGTGAATAATTGTTATCTATTAAAAGGAGCATTATCGGCAATTATCGATTAGTCTTAAGACGTAGGGCTCGACATTTGCCCTCTTCCAAGTAGATAAGTGCTGGGGCTCAAAAGCAGAAGCATCGATCAGATGAAGCTTGTTAATGCTGTTATTAAAGATACCTTCATGAAACAACAAGTTTGTAATTGCCGCTCCCTTGCCATAACAAGTTGGTATCGGCCCATGCAAGGGAATTTGGATTCCGGAATCCAGGAAAATGTTCCCTGTGAAATCCGGAATCTTCGAAATGTTTACTTTTGGAATCTTTAGTCCTGGGTTTGGAATTCTGAATAATGCTCAAGGAATCCAGAATCCCACTAACAATTGGAATCCGGAATCCCAGTTCCACTAACAAAGAATCCAGAATCCTGTATCTGGAATCCGGAATGTGCGACTTGGATTCCCTTACATGGGGCGATTGGTAAGTTAAAAGGTCTATAAGATAGATCACTGGGCCCAGTGGTTCGAAGGCAGATTAGACCTTAACCCGGGTTTCTTTTTCTTATGTTCAAAAGCATTTTCTAGGATAATATTCTCTGTTATCTTTAGAGCTTCCAATCATCAACTTGTAGACAAAAAGAATTAAAACCGAAATGCTTTTTAAGCTTTCAAATCTGAATTAAAATTTCGCACTAACCCTGGGTTATCTTAATCCAGCTTGGCCCTTATCAACTCGGCCCTGATCAATAAGATCAAAAGTTTTACAAAAGTCAAACAGCATGAATAGCCTCATTTTTTTGAAAACTACCTAATTAGCTAGCGCTGGTATCAGGGACGTCCTCGAAATGTCAGCGCAATAATGTGGATGGATGAGGATTTATGTGTCTTCCTTGGGTGCATGATCCATTTTACTCAAAATTCCTCCTTTTCTATTCACAGGTACATCAAAGCTATCAAACCCTTCCACTTCGCCACTCTTTAAAACTAAAATCTTGTCGCAGTCTCTAATTGTGTTCAAACGATGTGCAACGGTGATAACCGTGGCATTTTCCAATTTCTCATGTACTATATTCCAGATCGTTTGCTCTGTATCCGGATCCACGTGAGCAGTTGGCTCATCCAAAATGACGATTTTCTTTTGCTGCAGCAGCACTCGAGCCAAGCAGATAAGTTGTCTTTCTCCAACACTAAAGTTTGCCCCATGCTCCAATAATTCATGATCCAACTGGCCTGGCAAATTCTCTACAAGACTTTTCATCTGCACCTGTTCTAAAGCTCGCCATAGTTCCGCGTCTTCAAATTGCTCCATCAGATCAAGATTTTGTCTCACCGTTCCACTAAAAAGGGCAGGATTTTGTCCAAGAACGGTTATTGCTCGTCGAGATTCTTTGAGGGTAATGTCTTTTACATTGACATTGTCAATAAATACGTCTCCATCGGGTTCAGGCATGCGCATTAGAGCCGCCACGAAGGAAGATTTCCCTGCGCCCGTCCGACCCGCAATCCCGATCTTGGTTCCCCCATTGATGTTAAGTGTGATATTCTTTAAACTTTGAGGACCACCCGGATAGTACGTCAGGCATACGTCTTTAAGCGCGATATTACCCTCACGTGGCCAGATTTCCGGAGGTTTTTGTTCCACTTTGTATCCAGGTTCAGGTTCAAGCTCGGTGTACGTCATTACTCGCTCAACTGATGTCATCAGAGTTTCGACTTCAACTGATTTCTTAATTGCATATTGAGTCCAAACCATATTTTGAACTACATAAACCAATGCCAGACCGGTAAAAGCTAAAAAAAAACAGGTGAATACGTTTATTAAGCTATGGTTCATCAACCATAAATAACATTTTCGGGTAATATGTCCAGGGGCCTGTTTCTCGAAAGGCCCGCAAACTTTTCGGGCTGGAAGGCAAATTTTAAAATCAAAACCAATTGAATAGTAACAGTTCCTAGCTCACCGAAACCAATCAATTTTGCTTCTTTAACTGATAGTTTCATTGCATCATTTTCAATAGTTATTGAAACTTTGAACTTGAATGCAAACACGGCCAAGATAAAACAGCTTTCCGGTCCCGAGAAGCTATCGGGGCTTTCGAGAAACGGGCCCTTGGTCGGAAATGCTATCCTGTTCAGGACAAGTAAGAATCTTTTGCGCGGTTGTTAGTACGGAACAATCGAACGGATTTTGTTCTGCCTAGAAAGTCTGCCTGGCGTTCCAAAAAAGCATTCTCGAGAACTTATCCCTAAGAGGGCTAAGGTGAGGCTGGGGGTGGGTGCAATTTCCATCCCCCTTTTTTAGCAAGAAGATTTTTCTGGGCACCTGTCCCTCGCTACCCTGGGCGCCAGGATTTTTTCTTCCTGATACAAGCACTTCGTGGCGAACCGGGAAAGCGAGACTTGATTTTAGAGCCGACTGAAACAGCTTTTCAAAGCCGGTAAATCTCACAACTGACACCGGGTGAGCAGAATAGCATCTAAAGAGCTTTATAAGCGGATTTTCAGGGAAAATATGAGAAATCGTGGCTAATATGAGCGATTCAATGAGCCCATTTCCGCAGCCAAATGTTTCTGTCAATGATACTCTTACGTGACATCCTTAAGAAAGAGAAACAGGCCAACCAATTACTACCGAGTGGAATATGATGACATACGTCAACTTCCGCTCCGCCCCTAGTGGTTCCAAATAGCTGGCCCTACGATTCATGTGTTCTAAGAAATTTAACAGCTCATATAAACATGGATTAATTTGCTGATTACATATGCAAGTATAATTACCAGCATCCTGTGATACAATAACTGAAGCAAGAGCCGTTGCAGCAGTCAAAAGAGCGGAGAGACAATCCAAGCGTACACCAAGCCAGCGCTGGCTGGCAAAAACCATAATGTATGACTTAGTATGAAGATCTTGACATTCTTTGAAAAAAGAATCTTTTGCATTAAAACGCCTTGTCATATGATAAAAGAAGAATGTAAAAAGACGTCATAATCTGGAGAGCTAGCTTGTCCAAATCCCAGGTGATCGTCCCAGAGTAACGTTACCAAAACAGCCTAGTTAAGATAACTGAGACCTAATGGTAGCAACACATTAATCACCCCGATGAAACCACACGGCGATCGTGTTACAAATCGACTACCTACCTGACTACCTAGACTTTCAATAGCAAGTCTACCTGACTACCCAATTGACTGACTAATTAATCGAGGAGTTACTCATTTTAAACTTGAGCTATTCAGATTACAAATATCAAAATTATTCAACAACAAAGACAAAAAAATGAGTAAAGTACCTGCAAAATTCATCCACGAAATCTTTTTCTTTTTTTCTCGTCCGAATTGTGTCCAGTCCATCCAGTGTCTCTGAAAAGTGAGAAAAGACTGGACTACGACTAACTGACTCCAGCCTTTGCAGCTCCCTTGACGTCTTTAAGTAATATCTTGAAATAACTCCCGCTAACACAGCTATTGGCGTAAGAGCAAACAGAAGCCAAGGGTTTATGACAGTTGGTAGAAGTATTGAGGTGAACATCAGCAAGGTCCTTTGGATTGCTCTCAGAAACGTTTTAGGTAGTACATCATCCATACAACTTATATCTTTAGAGAATCGATTCATAATTCTTCCCACGGGATTTGAATCGAAGAATACGACTGGTGCCTGTAGAATAGCCGCAACCATTTTATCATGAAGACGTTCAGAACATCGTAAACATACCAGATAGAAGCTAAATGCTCGAATGATGAGAAATATGAAAGATGCCCCAACAAGAGAGCCATAGATGATAAGGCTTGTCTCGTTCTTTTGATCCTTGGGGTGTGTCTTTGTCAAAAGGGAAAGCCACACATCGCAGGAAACAAGCATTGCTAAAGGAAATATAAGAAAAATAATGGTCAGAAACGAATGGAGTAATAGTTCTGGAGGCTTGTTTGCTGCGCTCCACCGTCCGTGCTTCAGCCATATTACACCACTGATGTATGAGCTACATTGGCCTCCGTTAAAACAGCGCATTCATTTTAAGATTTTGCTATTTGCATTCAAGGCTATCTATGGTATAACCCCTACATACATTCAGAACTTAGTTTCTTTGAAATCGCAAAGCGCATATAACCTCAGATCGTCAAGTTATGGATGCTCTACTGCGTGAGCTTCGCGATATTATATACTTGAATACTTTTAAGAGCAATCTTAAGCCGTACCTTTTTTAAGTTTGCTTATGGTTGAATGAATTTAATTGTTACAAATCGAAATTTTAGACTTCTATTGTGGGCTTATTGTTTTGCCTATTGAAATAGGTTTGTAGGTTTTTTATGCTTTTATTACTAATGTAATACGCATCTGATCATTTTTATGATTACCTGCGCAATAGAAGTAATTAAATTATTATTATTGTTATTAGTCATACATTTTTGGGTGTCTATGAAGAAGACTGGCATTAATTTGCGACCTTGAAACAAAGATGGTGTGTTGTGGCTTGTTATATGCTGGTTGTTTTCGCGTCTTTTCTAATCCTACATGAAGTTCAACGTTTGAATATGGTCTCATTTTTTTTATTTTTATTTTTTGTAACTTACAAAAAAGGCTAGAAAGACCTGTGTCTGTTTTACGAGCATTCTCTAAATTCTAGAGAGGGTAATGTACAATGGTCTTTTAAGGCTTTTTTAATAATCATAACAATCTCTCTGTCAATCAATATGGTTTTCGTAAGCATCACTCCACTGCTTCTGCTCTTGCTTGTTTTTATGACAAAATCTCTACCGCTATTGAAAATAAGGAATACATAACATTTTAACTTCAAAATTAGAGCATTATGGTGTTCGAGGCACTGCACTTAATAGATAGTTCAAATGCTATCTAAGCAATAGACAACAATATGTGGAATTTAATGGTATCAGTTCAGAGGCATGCGAAAAAGTGCGGGGTGCCTCAGGGCTCTATACTAGTCCCCCTGATCTTTCTGCTTCTTATTAATGATCTGTGCAATGTGTCAAAGGTGGCGGACTTTATTCCTTTTGCTCATGACACAAACATAGTTTTTTTCCCACAAAGATTTTAATTTACGTCCTGAAATCTTGAATTCTGAAATGCTTAAAAGCCGAATTTTGTGTGATCTAGACTTGCGACTAAAAATCCAACACTAGGAGCTGAAAGTTTGGTGTTAAGCAAACAATCTCCGTAAGAAGTAAAAAATTCTGTATGTTTGAATTCGACTAAAACGAAAATATATTTCAAACCTTAAATTTTCAATAGCCGTGATACATCATTTAAAAAAACGTTATAAATAACTAAATAATTCTTAAGTAGCGTCAGAATGCTGCTAAATATCATATTTCGATGCTAGGAAATTTTGGTGTACTTTCGTTCTTGCGATCTTAAAAACTAACCCGTTTTCTCACCACCTGTCTAAGTGCAACTTCAGTCAAAATGTGGACTTTTAGCGCTTTCTTGTATATCTGAAGAGACGCGGACGAATTTTTTTAAAATCTCTTCACATAATCTTCATAATGTATATAAAAATGTCTGAAACTTTCATTAAGATTGATTCACTGCAACACCTTGAAACTTCAAGACAAACCCATCCTACGAACCTGTCAAAAATCTTCGTTACAACTTCATTGTTTTGACCTTATACTAATTTTTCCAAAATAATGGGCACTTCTCATACCTCCGTGACTAGTACATCTTAGCTTGAATTTATCGCATCTTTTGAATGTAAAACATTGACAATACTCACACTGAAATTTAGTATTCATGGATATATGTATTGTCCGCATTAATTCATTCAATTCCGTACAATTAATTCATTCAGTACCTTGAACTTGCATATTTGGTTTACCCTATAGTCCAGGATGCGTATAGTTTATAAGTCCCCGGCTTTTATATAGGCTTCCTTGTAACAACCACTCAAAACATTTAATTTTGTAAGTAATTTAGTTGGAATAGTGCATATTATCTTTAATGTGTTATAAATTTATATATATTGTTGTTGTATTTGTATGTGGTTAATGGCAAAACGAGAAGAATGAATGAATGAATGAAGTTTATTTTCACCAGACTTTGACAGCCTTTCCCCAGTGACCAGTCACGTTTTTTCATTTGTCAATATCCTTACAACTCAACATAATTATTCCTGGCAACGGGCAGAAATCATGTGAAGAATACATTGATAGCTGCCTTGCATTTGAATTTTCCAGTAGAGGGCTATTCGAATACGCAGTCGCAGAAACTTTTCATTTGAAGATAGATAGTAGCTCTCATTAGTTTTAAATGCAATAGAACGATAACAATTAAAAAGAAATACTCGAATCTGATTAGCTCTTAATAAACCAAATCTGACTGGTTAGATCGAATGGATGAAGAACCAATAAATAATAAAGACCTAATTTCACTATGCTAGCCAAAGTGATTTAAGCCAAAGTCCATGCTAACCAATGGAAACCGAGAACTGAAAACTTGAGATTGTATTCAATCCGGGACATAAGTTAGGAGAAAGCTATTGAGTGAGCAGAATGCCCAGCTACAGCTTCAAAATAAAACATGAATGTATTAAATCAACTTAAGTTTAAAGACGATCTTTTCCACAAATACTTTGCAACCTGCTTAGCCATTATTTATTGTTATTAAAACAAAATAACAAACAAACAAACAAACAAAAAAAAACAGACAAGCACACAAACAAACAAACAAAACAAAAGAACCAAAAAAATGAAGCAGCAACAGAAAATTAATGCAGTCACTAGCTTTTCAATACAACAAATCGATTTATAAGAAGATCCAATCATATGCAGTTAGGTTATAGAGTTTCAGGTTGCTCGGATTCGGTCATCCGCACTCTCCCAGGGATAAAAAAATGTGTGGTGGTAAGGTTCAGTTATTATTATCTTAGCGCACCTTACCTTGACTTATTAAACATAAGCAAATTCCTGCGATGATTACCAGCAAAGGAACTCCGCTTCTAAAGTAGTTCCAGTAAAGTCCTGATGACACCACTCCAATGGCGCGATCTTCTTGTGATAAGTGGAGACCCTGCACTTCTTTCGGTACAGGTGTACCACTCATGTCAGAAATTTCTACTTCGTCTTTATCGTCCTCACCAACGCTAATATCCGATTTGTTTGCCTTTTCGTAAATTGGATCGACAGTTTTATTCAGGCTACCACTTTCATTTAGCTCAGTGAAATTTCCCTGGCTCAATACTCGACCTTTAAATAATACAATTACGTTGTCGGCGTCACGCATGATTCGTTCTTGATGAGACGTTATTAACCGAGTTTTCTTTCCAAGCAAGCCTTTGATGCATTCCCTAAAAATGTGATCGGCAACTTTAGAGTCCACAGCACTTAAGGGATCATCCAACAAGTAAAGCTCTCCTTCGGCGTAGACTGCCCGTGCTAAGCTTACTCTTGCCCGCTGGCCACCACTAAGCACCACGCCACGTTCTCCAACGATCGTTTGGTCAAAGTCTGGAAACTTTTCAATGTCTTTAGTCAAAGCACATGCTTCAATGACTCTGTTGTACTTTTCCTCCTCGTACTGTTCGCCAAACAAAATGTTTTCTCTAATAGTTCCCGAGAATATCCAAGCAATCTGCGGCACATAAACAACAGTTCCTTTCAAGGTTATAGCCCCGTTTTGGTCTGGTACTTCCCCAGCAATTGCTGACAGAAGAGTAGATTTGCCACTGCCCACTGGTCCGGTTATGACTGTTAAACTCCCTTTTTCAGCGGTGAAATCAATAAATTGCAAAGACGATTCTTCTGATTCATTTTGTTGCTGTTGCTGATTGAAATTTCTGACCCGTAAAATAGTTTCTTGCTGACTTTCCTTCGAGTTGTTAGAAAAACACGATCCTTCTGTTCCCTCTGGTGGATTTATCGTGGTTTTCGTTGAATCAAGATTGTTTAAAAGAAGAAAGTCTTGTATTCTGCTCAGTGATACATAAGCGTCGTAAGTTTGGATGGAGGCATAGGAAAAGTTCATACAGAAGCTCCCACTTAAAACATTGATAAATGAGAGGAAAGTGAAGACGTTAACTGGTGTCACAGGCTGACCAGTTAGTATAAGAGTGATGACAGTCACCAGGGTTGCCATTGGTGTTGAAATGTATTCGAGAGCAGCAATGCTAGACATAAAAGCACTCTTCTTAGTGGTCAAATCGATTTCATCACTATAAATAAAATACAAGGATTTTTTCAGTAATGTTAAAGAGCTTGAAAGGTTATATTCTTGTTAAAAGATACAATGCTTTAGGGCGCTTTCATATGATACTTATAAGAACTTGGAAATAAAATCACTTCATTTGATATTGACTGTCTTGATATTTACTGCTATCAGGGAGGATTTATCCGATACTAAATAGCACGATATCTTTGACAATGAATTACCCTTCGATTTTTCTAAGAACTATTGGTAATTATTATTGGTTATTTAGGCGGTAGATCTCACTTTCTATGGGTTTTACCGCGGTGATAACCCACGCGGGATGCTAAGAGAACACGAGAAAGGCTTGTCGATTACGAGACATCCAGTTTCTATTTAGACTCTTTGAGGACAGTCCAATAAAGACACGGCCGCGGCTCCTTTTTTCAACCCAATTGTCAATCTTGTCACTTGTGAGCGTAAACATCAACGATCATGGGTCAATTCCCGAAAAGACGAGGGAATTTGTCTCTCTCGCTCAACCCAAGACCACTCCAAGTGCTCTCTGAGCTGAGCTGCGATCTTTTGAAGTTTTGAAACTTCGCCTCCCTTTTTAAGGAAGTAAGCACTGCCAAGTTTGGTCGGTTAGGTCTGAGACGAACTGGGAATGAGCTAATAAACCAAACTTAAATTTCCGTTCCATTTTCATGAAATTAAGGTGATTCCCTAGTTTTGCACTGCGCATCTCTTACTGCGCATAACAAGATGGCCGCCGTAAAAAAGAGCATGTGAAGTAACATTATTAAAATGAAGTTGACTGAAGAGAAACGCTATTGGAATTTTTGCTTGCTGTTGTTTCTTGCCGAGGTGAGACTCAATGTGTTGGCAATGCTCATAACGTAAGCAGTACGCGTGTTGCTGAGTTCGACCTCCTCTAGGAGAACCTCGATAGTTGATGTTTAACTTGTGCTTACTCGCTTTGATTTTCATTTAAACACTTTCTTTATCACATTGTGTCCTAAATGTAACATCTCGATGTAAATTCTGTAAAAACGGATTTTTTAATGCTTTCTTCCCCCTTTCACATACATTCTATTTTGAAACTCGCCCCAGTCCTCTCTCAAAAATTGGAGATAATGCATTTGGTGCGCACTTTCTGCAGCTCTACCGCAAAAACGAGAACGGTGACCCCNGCATAACAAGATGGCCGCCGTAAAAAAGAGCATGTGAAGTAACATTATTAAAATGAAGTTGACTGAAGAGAAACGCTATTGGAATTTTTGCTTGCTGTTGTTTCTTGCCGAGGTGAGACTCAATGTGTTGGCAATGCTCATAACGTAAGCAGTACGCGTGTTGTTGAGTTCGACCTCCTCTAGGAGAACCTCGATAGTTGATGTTTAACTTGTGCTTACTCGCTTTGATTTTCATTTAAACACTTTCTTTATCACATTGTGTCCTAAATGTAACATCTCGATGTAAATTCTGTAAAAACGGATTTTTTAATGCTTTCTTCCCCCTTTCACATACATTCTATTTTGAAACTCGCCCCAGTCCTCTCTCAAAAATTGGAGATAATGCATTTGGTGCGCACTTTCTGCAGCTCTACCGCAAAAACGAGAACGGTGACCCCCATTTTTAATTTCATGATTTTAATAAGGACAGTGCTTTCTTTCGATGAGAAAAAAATTGTCACAAATGTATGTTCAGTTCTTTGGCAATTTTACTAAATTGTACGGATTGAGCCATCACTGGTCGAAAAGCGCCCGTCCAATTTAATTTTAAATTGGAGCGTAAAGTAAAAACAAGGGTATTAAAAGGCATTTTTCTGGTACGTAAGTGGATAAACAATACATTAAAGTCAAATTCTGTGTGATGCCACATGTATCATCGAAAAAATCTCTCCTTTTTGTCTAGTTTTGGGCTCCCCGCGGTTTTTGTAAAAGGGTCCTAAATAGCCGTATTTGTCAGCATTGTGACGTCAAAACGAGACCGGTGACCCCCACTTTTTATAACTTTTTTTTCATCTTCTTGACTTTTTACATCAGTGTACCAAGTTTCAGCTATAATCTATGTTAGGTTCTTTTACTATGGAATCACCTTAAGTTTATTAAATTTTATATCTAGGTTTCTTTTTATCAACTGCTTCAAACCACGAAAAAGTGTGAGTTTAAAATTAATTGCTTGTGGATATGACAAAAAAATTATTGCTTACTCAGAACCTTTTTAATATTTATGCATGGTTAAAGTTTTCCTTACCTTCGCACGTTCTTTATCTTTTCTCTATATTCATCTTCCCATGCATTTGTTTTGATGACGCGGATTCCAGAAACAACCTGGCCAATCATCGTGATGCGTCGATCAGAAACTGCGGCTGTACGCAGGCGTAGTAAAGCCCCAGCATAGGCGAAAAAAAGGTAACATGGCAGAACAATACACAGTAAAAAAATTCCCGTTAGAGCCTGCCATCCGACAAAACAGACCAGTAAAAAGGTTAATATTAAAAGTAGTATGATGCTTCGAGCTCCAGCAAAAAAGTACACGAAAGTATCACTCTCTATTCGCTGAACATCGTTTGATACGAGATCAATGACTCGACCTGATGAAAGTCTCAGCAATGAATCCTTGCTGAGAAGAAGCGTCTGCAACAAGAAAATAAAGTTCGTAAGTTATCTTTGCAAAAATGTTATTAGCTTTGTCACTATTAACGTTGTCACAGCGTATGAGTTCCCAAAACTCTCCCTGTCAAAACGAGGCCAAGCGCATATCATTTCCTCTGAAAATGAGTTCTATTTGCATGAGAATATATTATTAGATTTAAGTAATTTTCATATCCATGGCTCTGCACTTACCCTTGCCTGTGAACAGATGCTTGTAAAACATAAATAAACATCGTTTATTTCCACTCTTTGCAGTAAAATACAACTGAACAATTAATGAATGAGGCTGAGCATCTTATGAAGAATTATGGAGATCGAGGATCTTCATATGATAAGAAAGTCGAATTCAATAATTGTTTTATTATTCATTCAAAATAATTTCTAGTTTAAAAACATAGCTAAAACAAGCTTACTTACATCGATGTTAAGTTTATCTTCGATAGTTTACGTTAAGGTTTGTCCAGCTCCGCAAATATTCTCCAAAGAGCGGATGTCACCCTCCGATTTGTCTCCTTGCTGTTTTTGCTCTGCTTTTAGCCATTATTTCGCCTATCCGCCTAGTTCCAGCCGTAGTTCTTACTCTTTAAACGAGTGAAGTGTCCGCCATTTTAGTTTTTACAACGTAAACAACTCATTCTCGTCCCCAGGTCTTCTCGGTTAACGGTACATTAACCCGTAAAAGGCTGCATTTTTTACCTCATTTCCTCGTTAAACACAAAATTCTTCCAAATTTGTTTATCAGTAACTAGTTAAGGTGAATTATGCGTGTGTTGTTAGCCAATCAGAATTGGGGAAATACTTTGAATGAATAATAAAAAAAGTTATGGGCGTTATGAAACTAGTCTCAAAATTTAAAGGTAATAAAATCATTCTCTTTTTTGATTCTAATGTAAGGGCTTCATGGCTGGATCTAAGATCGTATGGTACACTAATAACTTCATGACGAGTGCGTAACCTCCATGCCGAGATGGACCTGCGGCTTATAGAAAGTCGTCTTTTCTCAAGACTCTCAAGGCCAGAGAGGGTCAGAGCTTCATCATAACTATAGTCTGGGAAAACAATCATAAGGGCCCGTTTTTGTATAGATTCTAAATTGACGGATAAGTGCTCTGGAATATCTAGCCATAACATCTTGACGCAACTCGGAAATGGCCTATTTTTCCCTATTCTACAAAAAAGGACAATTTAGTACGGTAAGCTGGACTTCCATGTCCCGTTTGGGTATGAACGTAATCATGCCCTCGATCATAGATTTGTAAACGTGTTTGACATTGGCCAAGAACAACCTTGTGTGTTTTCTCGCTCAATCAATAGTTTTCTGCGTATAAAGTTCCTTTCGTCCTGTCGAGCGCCATTTTTGAACTTGTGCTTAGCAGTTAGTACAAAGCAGTGGATTGCCCTAGAACTGAAAAAGTCGGTGTACACAAAGGGACCCAGTGACCTCTTGAGTGCTCGGGTAGCTTTGTACTCGGGCACAGGCACGGTGCACGAATTCTGGCGTAACTTCTTAAAAAAGGGTGTGTACACATTAGTGCCAAGCGAGTACAAAACTCGAGCACCGTGCCGGGGCACCAGGTGTGAACGCTGCCTTAGGCTCTATTTCGGCCCAGGTCAGTTGACTTAAATGGACTGACTAAAAGGTTTAAGCCCACCTCCTCATCGGTGTGGACACATCTGGCCGTCTCTGACATTTTTAAAAGTAGGTTGAGTTTGATCGTCGGGGTGAACGTAGTCCTGAATAGGACTGTTGTTGTTGACAGTGACTGACGTTTCGACAACCTGTGCGGTAGTCATCTTCAGAGTCAAAGTGAGTTGTATCACGTCAGTTGATGGTAATATACTCTGGTTATTGATCTGACTGGTCAATTACGTCGCGATGTTATTGGTCGTCTGTCAGTTAAGCCGTGATGTTATTGACTATGAAGACTCGTAATCAGTAATTGGTGCGTTTCGATCCGTCTATTGTCACAGTTAAACAGTCGTCTATTGTTAGTCAAATTGTCAGTTCTCTGGGTCTATTGACTTCATTGCCAATAATATCACGGCTTATCTGACAGACGACCAATAACATCGCGACGTAATTGACCAATCAGATCAATAACCCGAGTATAATACCATCAACTGACGTGATACAACTCACTTTGACTCTGAAGATGACTACCGCACAGGTTGTCGAAACGTCAGTAACTGTCAACAACAACAGTCCTATTCAGGACTACGTTCACCTGGACGAACAAACTCAACCTACTTTTGAAATGACTCCTGGGTCCAAACCTTTTACAGTCTGACATTTTTGTTCATTACCTTCATATACACTAATCCTTTAAGGGCGCTGCTTATTTTGATACCCAACACCTCACAGTGGTAGTCAGCCTGGTGCGTGGCAACAGAAGAAATCACTCCATTTATCCCTAGTGCGATGGCACTGCCATAGAGAAGATACATATTGTGTAGCTCTGCTGTCATCAGGGATTTCACAAGATATCCAAGAAGTAGTGGCTGAAGAATATGACAAAGTGTCTCGACACTCATAGTCAAAACTAAGATCATTTTTTCCTTCGCAGTTAACATCTTCAATACGCTTTTCCAAAGTTTTGGTTTAACATCATACATTTTACTATCAGCTATGTCTTCGGACCATTTTGCCTGAAGTTTCTTTGTCAAAAACCAAGAAGTGGTTTCTTCTTTAAGCGGAAAAAGATCATTTTCATCAACAGCTCGTTCACTCCCAGTCTTCATCAAAATGTTCATCCATTGATAAAAAAGAGAAGAAAAAAAGCTTATGTTTTCCGAGTGTGCGGAGCTGGCGATCTTTCTGTACGTCTTCTTTGCCATTTTTTGGTATCTAAGGAAGAAACAATCGGATTTAGATAAAAAACTATAAGGGATTTGGTGGGGGAAAGGTTTGGGGGGGAGGGGGGGGGAAGGGGTTTAAACACGAGAGCCACCTGTCATTTCAGGACTGGGAGGCACCCTTGTAGTTTTCTTTTTTTCTGAAGCGTTGTTCAAATTCATGAAAAGTATAATGTGGATTATTGTTTTAAATGTGGGGATTTCCGCCGTTTAATGCAAATGTACGAGGGCAAAACAATAGACTTTTTGTTTCTTGTTAATATGTTTTGCCTCCCGGATCCATTCACGCTTTGCATGCAGCCAAAAGAAACAAAGGAATGTCTTACAAATTGCTTCTCTTAGTTATATTCAAACCACAAAGAAACAGTCACTTTACCTTGATAATGACCGATGATAACCGATATTTTCGAAACATCAGATCCAGCATTAGTTGTTATATATATTTTTCACTAATGTTTAGTAAACCGCTTATCAAATTCAGGCATTTAAAACTTTGGGCTTAAAACCCGCCAGCCAAAATCGATAGTCATTCATCCCTAAAATCTGTCTCACAAGGCCTAAAAACAATCGGTTAAAGGAAGGAACGGTGGATGATAGCTAATGAAGGAGGACTGCGAACAGTTGCACAGTCGACGGGGAAAGAGTTCCCCACTGTCGGGTAACTCTTTTGAAAAGTGCATAACTTAAATCACCAACAATGGCCGGTAATCTCCTTCCTATATACACAGTGTAGTCAACTGAATCAATCATGGAGATCGATCCATACCATTGAATCCCCACCTAGAAAACCATTTGATTACCAGACTTTGATTGTAAACAAAAAGTGATATGAACAAATAGCCTGACGTTATGGCTAATCTTTAGATTCACTGCCCGTTAATGGTTTTCACCGAATTCAGGCCGAACGGGCACCGAATGACTAGCTTATCATAGTAAAGTTACACGTCTTCATAACGATTACACAATACAGGTTAACACCGCAATAAATGTACTTTTTCTTGTTTGATTTTTCAGATTTCAAAATTGATTGCCAAAAAGGTACACCTACCTTGCTCTCTTGTTAAAATTTGCCTTAGTGAAGCAAAAAAATTGTCTGAACTGAAGAGACGGTTCAAACTTTAAGGGCATTTCTCATTTTGCATTTTTCTTATGACTTAAATCACCACATAGCGTGTTTTGTTGTTATCAATCAACAGAGCATAAACTTGTCTCTCGCATTCTAGTTTGTACAGAAGTGAAATCAGTGAAGCATCAAGCTTAGAGTGCCTTAAGCAGCTCAAAGAGGCTTTTAAAAACTCTGAAAGAGAAGTCAATTGGTTTCGGTGTTACCTCCAGCATCTAAAAAACACCAAACCTAGATACTGATTTAGGTAGAATGGTCTTTAATTACGAAAGTCACTAGTTCGAGTCATTCCGTGACTAGAACAGTTATATTTACATTTTTTATGACTTCTCTTTTAACTTTGTTATTTTGTTTAATTTATGCTCATTCATAACAGTAAATCAAAGAACAGTCGTTAAACAACAGCGTTTAAATTGCTCACGCATCGCTTCATCGCTGGCTGTGTCGGCGAATGACAAACGCATGTCTAGCAAATCATCCAAGTGCTTACACACAGTTATACGCTTATAATTTACGTCCGCGCTTACCAGCTGTCTTTCGGTCCCTAATTTCGTTCAAACATGAGATTTTCTCTTTCGTGGTCAGTGAGTTTTTAAAAAAATTAAAATTTTAGTTTTACTCTGATACTTTCAAAACATCTGCTCCACAGAATTTCACCGAACACACGTAACAGAATTAAGAGTATCGAAGTATGACTGCATGCACAATGAATACCACAAATTTAACTCAGGCGGTCTCTTCGGGCAATTTTCTGTTTTACGTCATCCTAACCATTTCTTACTTGCGGGTGTTTAGCATTGTTTAGGGCTAGAACGTCATCATTACCCAAAGATTCCCTGCTGCCCCCGTTTAAGCAAATCGAGATTTTTTACAGGTATACTGACTGCATATTTTAACTGTAAGTACCTACCTTTATGTACGCGCGAGCTACTATTATATACCTCCTCGGGATTTTGCCTTATTCCCCCAAGCCTCGGAGACAAGTATGAATTTTAATATATCAAAAATTGCCTATTAACACGTGTTAAACTCTAATAGCGAGGTAGCCTTAAGGGAAACCACTGGTCTTATAGGTAATAGGCTCCCTCAATTATATTAGCGAAATATTAACATAAGTATACAAGTCAAATCAATGACAGGGTTACTTAACAGTATCAGCTAAGTAACATTCCCACGACACCTAATTGGTTAATTTGTGTTTCTACCTTTATTTCTTTCATACTCAAATCAAATTTTAGGTCAAACAGGTTCTTGTATTGAGGGGGCCTAACTGGTAAATTTTAGCGCAAGAGGTTCTTATAAGGGAAGTTCTTACTCGCGGTTTTTTACTGTACCCCGCCTAACGAATACTAGGAAGGTTATGAAAATAAACTGGTTCTCAAGAACTTTTTGGTATACGCGTATACTGCAGATGAACTGGCTAGTACAGACTAAATATTTTGGTATTTTGTCACTCCCTTCTACTATGTTACACGTTCGAGCTACAGAACATGAGGAATTAACTACAGACACACAAAAAGTATTGAGTAAAAAAAAATCAATCTCTCATAGTGGTTCATTTTAACTTTTCTTACAAAATTTGAAGGCTAGATGGTAAGAAAAACAGTGACGATAATAAAAACTTATCTATTTAGGGACCGGTCATTATTTATCGCCCGGGGGGGGGGGGGGGGGGGGGGGGAGGGTTTGGGGGTAAACAAGGGGAAATTTGGGCAAATAACCCTTTGAATGTTTATTTCCTGAAGTGCTGCCCCTGATAAAAATTTAAAAATTTTGCGATCCCCCCCCCCCCCCACTCCCCGCCTTTCTTCCCCTATATGTGATGTCCCCCAAAAAAAAAAGACTATTTTATGGTATGTGTATTATTAATTTTTCTCAAAATATTGTAAATGACAAGTAGTAAAAAAAAAGGTAAAAAAAAAAAATTCTTTTTTTTTGGGGCGGGGTTTTTTTTTTGCCCGGGGGGGGGGGGGGGGGGGGGGAGCGAAGGATTTGGGGCTAAACAAGGTGAAATTTGGCCAATACACCCTTTGAATGTTACTTCACTGAAGTGCTGCCCCTGATAAAAATTGATAACTTTCGCGATCCACCCCTCCCCCCATGTCTTCATTTTCTAACCTTATTTGAGTGGTCCCCTCTCTGAATCCTCCCAAAGTGTTTCGATGATCCCTCGTTTTGGGTTCTCAGTTACGACTGATCCCCCCTTTAGTTCTCCTAGAAATAAAGTGATCCCCCCCAGAATCCTCTCCCCCCAGGCGATAAATAATGATCGGTCCCTTATAATGACTATTGAAGAATTGCACTGGAAATCCTTAAAATGATAATGCAAGTATAAGCGTGGAGGACAGTTCTATGAGGTGACCTTTATTATATTATCCATTTTACTCAACATTCCTCCTTTTCTATTCATTAACACATCAAAACTATCAAATCCATCGACTTGACTACTTTTTAAAACTAAAATCTTGTCGCAATCCCTTATTGTGTTCAAACGATGTGCTATAGTGATAACAGTGGAATCTTTCAGTTCTTCGCGCACTAGTTTCCAGATTATTTGCTCTGTGTCTGGATCCACGTGTGCAGTGGGCTCATCCAAAATGACGATTTTCTTTTGCTGCAACAGCGCGCGAGCCAAGCAGATAAGTTGACGTTCTCCAGTACTAAAGTTAGACCCTTGCTCCAATAATTCATGTTCCAACTGACCCTCCAAGTGCTCTACAAGATTTTTCAACTGCACCTGTTCGAGGGCTCGCCATAGTTCCGCGTCTTGAAACTCTTCCATCAGATCAAGATTTTGCCTTAATGATCCACTAAAGAGGGCCGGATTTTGTCCAAGAATGGTTATTGCTCGTCGAGATTCTTTAAGATTGATATCTCTTATACTGAAATTATCAATCATTATATCTCCACCAGCTTCAGGCATGCGCATCAGTGCCACCACGAGAGAAGATTTCCCTGCACCCGTCCTGCCAGCAATTCCGATCTTAGCTCCTCCATTGATGCTAAGTGTGATATTCTTTAGACTTTGAGGACCGCCAGGATAGTACGTCAGGCATACGTCTTTGAACGCAATTTTTCCCTCATTTGGCCAGATTTCCGGAGGATTTTGTTCCAGTTTGTATCCAGGTTCAGATTCAAGCTCAGTGTATGTCATTACTCGCTCAACTGATGTCATTAGAGTTTCGACCTCAACTGATTTCTTAATTGCGGACTGAGTCAGTACCACGCTCTGGACTACATAAACCAATGCCAGACCTGCAAAGGCTAAAAGAAAAGGGGGGAGAATATACAGTCCAAATTTCGGATATTTCGTCGGCGTATACCAAAATGCGGTGCTAGGAACAATATTCTGCTCAACTGTTAACCCGAAGTTGCGTCTTTTTTGTTTTAGTTTGTTTTGTGTTTTCTTTTGCGAGAAGTCTTCCTGGTGTTCAGGAAAGCAATCCTGGGAATCAATGTGATTTTTTTTGGCGGCTATATATTATTATATTATCTCCCGCATCTCACACTATCCTTATATGTAGATTTAGCCAGGGCTAAAAGCAAGGCTCTCAATGATATTTAAAGTTTGCTCAAACTAAATATAATATAATCGTGTAATGCTAAGCAGCGAAGGCAACGAGAACGGTAAAAAAAAAAACAACATAACGTCTAATTAGCAAAACACAACTTTGCACGTGCAGCACACTTTGTATGAACATTTCTTTGCCGTTGTTTTGCACAACTACAACGGAAAACGTCCTAAAATTAAACTTCCTGGTTGCACATTCTATGGAGGAAATGCCGTACATGTTCTTGTTCACTTTTTTCACACTTCCGCTCGTTTTTTCCTTGGTTGCCGCTAGCATTTCTCATTTTCTCACCGCCGCTACAAATTCATGTTGTTCTTCCAACAAAAAATGGCTCCTTATTTCTTGCTCTAGCTCTCCGTCGCCCTTTTTCTCGTTGAGCTTCGCTGCGGCCTGTCGCCTATTTTCTCTTTTTCTCTGTCGTTCTCTTTCTCTATATTCCAAATTTGTGGACATGACAATTAATCTAAGCTTAATACTTTAGACAACACGGACACAGAAACATTTTCTTCCTTCCGTTCTCTTATTGACTCTTTAGTTGTCTCCGCTTCAGAAGACGCGGGTGGCTATGGGACTTCCCGCTAAAATAAGCTCGAGTTACATTTGGTTTGTCATACCTGTTGATTGAGTTATTTTACATTGGCATGCCTGTGGTGCGGACGGACGGACGAATGTACGTTCATGTGATTACCAAAATTTGTCGGATCGTTAGATTACCACATTTTCTTAGGAATGGGGCAACGCTCGCGCGCGCGTGGAGCTCCGCTATTACTTACCTTATTTCACTCTCAACTTATATCATTGAACATTAGTAGAAATATGACTAGGTAGCGCAAGCATTTGCACAAGAAGCAAAGACCATTTTAGTTGAATTAGTGACTCTTAGAAAATGAACAATTCATGAAATAATCTGATTAGTTTCTAATTATGCGGGTATATTTACCGGCATCCTGAGACACAATAACCGCAGCAAGAGCGGCTGCACCAGTTAACAGAGCAGACAGACAATCCAAGCGTACACCAAGCCAACGCTGACTGGCAAAAACCATAATGTATGACTGGGTATGAATATCTTGAAACCTAAAAGGGACAACAATTATGTACCACTGAGCAATTTCACCAAGATTTCTCTCATATCGTTTACATTAAAGCAATTTTATCAAAACAGATTTCAGAGACGTTTTAATAAAAAGGCTAGCTCAAATCTGAAGTGACCGTCCCAGCCGAGAACAGTTTAGTTTATTGGAAGGGGTCATTAAGATCTTTTCATTTTTTGTGCTTTCCTATTTTATTTAACTGAGCTTATTACCTTTAAAGGTCTAGAGTCCCAAATTATTTACCTAAACCTGGCTGACTACTATTTCACACAAACAAGGATGTCTTCAAACCCGCCGATTACACCTAGTTAGTTGTTGTTACTAACTGCTTCTCTCCTAAAACTCAGTTCAGCGTATACAACCTACTGGCCAGGAAATCATCTTTCGAAGTGACGACATTCACCCTCTTTATGGTCCTTGTATGCTCCCAGCTTAGAACAAGCACTCTGATCTGTACCAACGAATCGTGGCTCGATTATCACCATTTTTTCTTACTTTTCATCTGAGCTGCTTAATCTTTAATACAATTACAAAATCCGGGCTAGGAAGTTGGTTTCAAAGCCTGGAAACTCTGTGAATAACAGGAAGACCTCCTCCAATTCAGTCATCTGTCCACTGTGTCAAGCCAGCTGTCTTTTGCCATGTCATTCGAAGACTTCATTATCTTCATTATTAAGGGTTTGTTGTTCCATAGTCTTACTTAACTCTTAGCTTAGTACGTAATCCTAAATTGGGTATTTTTATGCCAAAATGCGTGCACGGTACTATTATGTCTTTTTCTGGCGTGTATCACAAGTGCCACTTCGCTCCATGTTAGTCTGGACATTAATCCGACAGGAGAAACCCCGTCAAAAATATATTCTGAACCAGTTACTTTACTACTCAACTGACCGCGATTTCTTCGCTTTTCAGGGATTTATTTTTAACTCAGCCTCGATTCTCATTTTTCTGTTCACGCAGATTAGATATTAAAAGTACACAACAATGATAAAAACTGTATCAAGTGGCAAATACCTGCAAAACTCATCTATGAAATCTCCTTCCTTTTTTCTTGTCCGAATTGTGCCCAGTCCATCCAAAGTCTCCGAAAAGTGAGAAAAGACGGGACTACGACTAACTGACTCTATCCTTTGCAGCTCCCTAGATGTCTTTAAGTAATATCTTGAAATTAGTCCTGCCAACAAAGCTATTGGCACATCAGCAAACAGAATCCAAGGGTTTATGACCGTTGGCAGAAGAATGGAGCTGAACATAAGCAAGGTCCTTTGGATTGCTCTCAGAAAGGTTTTGGGTAGTACTTCATCCATGCAGCCTATATCTTTAGAGAAACGATTCATGATTCTTCCAATGGGATTTGAATCAAAGAAAAAGACCGGTGCTTGTAAAACAGCCGCAACCATTTTATTATGAAGACATTCAGAGCATCGTAACGAAACTAAATAGAAGCCAAATGCTCGAAAGACAAGAAATGTGAAAGATACCAGGACGAGAGAGCAATAGATGTAAAGGTTTCTCTGACATTTTTGATCCTCTGGATGCTTCTTTACCAAAAGCGAAAGCCACACATCGCAGGAAACTAGCATTGCTGAAAGTAATATATAAAAAAAGAATGGTCAGAAATGACTGTGGTGACACAAATTTAGGTGTCTGCCCAGGATATCACCATTAAATTGCGACTTTGAGTCAAAGATGGCGTGTCGTTCCTTATTTTATGCTGGCTGTTATGAAATCTCCGTCATCTAAAAGGAAAAGGCCCCATTGTGTGATTTAAGCAATGCCAATCTTTATAATATTTGACTTTTCATTGTAAGAAAGAACACCCTTAGGGATCTTAAATTGGTACCGGTGCTATTAATAATAAGCATAACATATATTTATATAAATCAAATTGCCTTGAAAATTGAGGCTCCAATTCACGCTCGGTCCCCTTCGTTCTATTGTTTGGGCCCTAAGTTTACTACTTTGCGCTTGCAAGAGTTCACAACATTGTTACTCCCAGATGAAGTTAGACATAACCGTTCATCATTTTTTTAAACTTTTAATAAGGCCTTTAAGATCTGCCAGACTTTGCGGACAGCCCTGCACTTTTTTTTCACTTTCGCCCATATCTTTTTCTTTATAATTCAACATTCATTCTTCGTAATAGCCAAAGGTCTTATAAAGAACACTTTACTCTTTTGAGAGAGTACCTCTACTTATAACTGCCTTGCTTTGCTCAGTCCAACAAGTGCCTATTCTAGAAATAAACATTAGCTCCCTTTACCTAAAATGCAATTAAAATACTAATTGGTTCATTGACTTTGTAGGTGGTAGTTAATCCGATATTCTCAGCATAGCTTTATATATTATCCTTCAACCTGTAAGAACTGTCCGATTAAGGGTTAATTTGGATAGTTTCAAATTGGGCTTTGCTTTAAAAAATAGGCAAATTGTCCAATATCAAAAAGGACTTTTTGTCTGAGGCAATTAAATGTCAGAAAATACAACAGGAAATGCAAACTATCCGGTCTCCACAAAGTTCCTGTGACAAAGCGCCAGAAAAGTCTCGTTGGCTGATGGCTGGGTGTCGGCGAAGACTATTATTGTTGTTGTTGTAAGTGCTTAAGTTTTGTTTTGGTTTCTTGTTTGGGCTATCTTATGACCAAACTGATGAAAGTTTTATCATAGGTAAGCCCGCATTCATGATGTAGCAAGTACAAACTATCCTGAAAAATGCGCAAGAATTGACAGTTTGGACAAGAAAAAGATAACCCTGAGATTTGTGTTTAGATGTTGGCCGGTGTTCAAAACCAACATTTATAGTATATGTTCAGTTCCCAGTTGCTAAGAAAGTCTACGGGCATCGAAAAATAACGACGACAAACACCTTTTAAAGAATAGGAACTTTTAACAAGTATTTCATTTTCGCCGTTTGAATATTTCAAAACAGTTTGGAACACAAACGTTTTAAGTTTTAAGTTTGTGGTGCAAAAATGGCGGAAAACGTATGAGGTGAATGATGCACAAAATGTATATTTTCAACATTTATTTTCAGTATTGGTTTTCCATTCCGCCCGACAAATTGAACTACTAATATTAGTACTTATTTTTCCATACGTGGTCACCCAATGTATCAGAGTTACATATTCTTTATATGACAGGTTACGTTTCTCCTCTGTGGTCTTAAGGTTCAGTTCTTGATTTATTAAGTCCTTACCTTGACTGATTAAACAAAAGCAAATTCCTGCGATGATTACCGGCAAAGTTGCGCCGGTTCTAAAGTAGCTCCAATAAAGCTTTGATGACACCACCCCGATGGCGCGATCTTCTTCTGATAAGTGGACACCCTGAACTTCATGTGGTTTATTTTCACCACTCGTGTTAGAAATGTCTTTTTCTTCATTATCTTTCTTACCAACGCTGTTATCCCATTCGCTTGCCTTCTCGTACATTGAATCTATAGTTGTGTTCAGGATACCACTTTCTTTTAGCTCAGTAAAACTTCCCTGGCCCAGTATTCCTCCTTTATATAACACAATAACGCTTTTGGCTTCTCGCATGACCTGTTCTTCATGAGTCGTTATTAATCGGGTTTTCTGTACAAGTAAGCCGTTGATGCATTCTCTAAAGATGAGTTGAGCAACCTTAAAGTCCAAAGCACTTAAAGGATCATCCAGCAAGTAAAGGTCTGCTTCCGCATAGACTGCGCGTGCTAAGCTTACTCTTGCCCGCTGGCCTCCACTTAGAACCGCACCACGTTCTCCAACGATAGTTTGATCAGAGTCTGGAAACGTCTGCATGTCTTCTATCAGAGCACATGCTTTCAAAACTCCGTTGTACTTGGATTCCTTGTACTGTTCACCAAACAAAATGTTTTCTCTTATAGTCCCAGAGAACACCCAAGCAATCTGTGGCGCATAGACGACACTTCCGTTGTAGGTTATAGCCCAGTTCTGGTCTGGCACCTCGCCAGCAACTGCTGACAGAAGAGTAGATTTGCCACTGCCCACTGGTCCGGTTATAACTGTTAAACTTCCTTTTTCGGCAGTGAAATAGACGTCTCGCAGAAAGGATTCATCTTCTGGAGAATTTTGCTGATGCTGGTGATTGAAATGTCTGACTCGTAAAATAGCTGCTTGCTGACTTTCAATTGGCTTCTCCGAATTAAACTTTTCTTTTGTTTCTTGTGGTGGATTTATTGTGGTCTTCGTTGAATCAAGATTGTTCAAAAGAAGAAAGTCTTGTATTCTGCTCAGTGAGACATAAGCGTCGTAGGTTTGGATGGAGGCATAGGAAAAGTTCATACAGAAGCCCAACCTCAACAGATTGATAAAGGAGAGTAACGTGAAGACGTTAACTGGCGTCAGGAGCTGACCAGTTAGTACAAGAGTGATGACAGTCAACATGGTCGCTGTTGGTGTTGAAATGTATTCAAGAGCAGCAATGCCCGACAAAACAGCACTCTTCTTACGGATCAATTTGACTTCATCACTACAAAAAAAAAGCAACAACAAAAAAAAAACAAACAAACAAAAAAAAAACATAATGTCCTTAGTCATTTTAGGAAGGGTGAAATCACAGATGAAAATAAAAAAAGCAACAACAATAACAACAAAACCATTCTTACTCGCTCGGTCCTTTTTTTTTCTGCAAATCAGAGTTAAGTTATCCTGCGTTAAATTGTATCTCACCTTCGCGTGCTCTTTATCTTTTCTCTATATTTATCTTCCCATGCATTTGTTTTAATGGTGCGGATCCCAGAAACAACCTGATTGATCAACGTGATGCGGCTGTCAGAAACCATGGCTGTACGCAGGCGTAGTACAGCCCCTACGTATGAGAACCCAACGTAACATGGCAGTACCATACACAATGAAACAATCCCCACTATGGTCTGCCATCCGATTAGAGAGAACAGTAAAACTGTTACTATGAATAGTTCCATTAAGCCTCTAGCGCCATCAAAAAACAAGATAAAAGTATCGCTCTCTAGACGCTGAACATCGTTCGATACGAGATCAAAAACTTGACCGGATGTAAACCTCAACAGTGAATCCTTGCTGAGAAGAAGCGTCTGCAAAAGAAACCAGATGTTCGTAAATTTATCTTTACATGAAGTTATCATTTAAAAGAAAGGCTCAATCACAAAGTGAAACAGTTTTAGAACAACATTTAGCTTTTTTTTTTAGTCAAAAAGTGATATAAAAAATATATTCATAACGCCTTTTTTTCCCCGCTATCTTTTCTGATGATACATTTACCCGTCTAGGTCAAGTTTGAGTATATACAGATGCCCTCGATCTAAAAATTCGCACATTTTTGAAAGCATCATAAAATTTCTTTTCGACCAACCAANGTAAATTTATCTTTACATGAAGTTATCATTTAAAAGAAAGGCTCAATCACAAAGTGAAACAGTTTTAGAACAACATTTAGCTTTTTTTTTTAGTCAAAAAGTGATATAAAAAATATATTCATAACGCCTTTTTTTCCCCGCTATCTTTTCTGATGATACATTTACCCGTCTAGGTCAAGTTTGAGTATATACAGATGCCCTCGATCTAAAAATTCGCACATTTTTGAAAGCATCATAAAATTTCTTTTCGACCAACCAATGGTTTTCTTGTTTGTGGTTGCCTTGAAATAAATTCAAAACACAGGTTCTATTTGCTAGCCTTTTAGATAACTGGGCTAGCTAAGTGCTTCTAGGACTTCTAGCTCGCCTCCTTTTTATCCTCAGACAGTTTGTTTTTTTTTTTTTGCTTCCTGTCACCTTCAAAACCGTTCATGATACAGCCACCAAAATCACAGAAAATAATGTTTTTTTTAAAAAAAAAAAAAAATAGGCATAGCTTGATTGACAAAATGACATACTTTAACGTTATTATGACGTCATATTGATGAATTCATTGGTAGAATCCAAATTCCCGTCTAAGTAGTCATAAGCTAAGGCTAAAAAATATTTAAAATCTGAACAAGGTATTTGATAAGATCAAGTTTTCCAACACATTAATAACCTTTACTATTCATTCGAAATACTTCCCAATTTCTGATTGGCTAAAAGCACACGCATAATTCACCATAACCAGTTACTGATGACCAAATTTGGAAGAATTTGTGTTTAACGAGGAAATGACGTCAAAAATGCAGCCCTCTACAGGTTAATGAACCTTAATCGAGAAGACCTGGGGAAGAGGTTGAGTTGTTTTGGTTGTGAAAACAAAATGGCCGACACTTCACTCGTTTCAAGAGCAAGAACTACAGCTGGAACTAGGCGAAGTAATGGCTAAAAACATAGCAAAAACAGCAAGAAGACAACTCGGAGGGCGACATCTGCTATTTTAGTGGAGAATATTTGCGAGCTGGACAAACCTAAACGTACACTATCGAAGATGAACTTAACATTGATGGAACGATGGAGGTAAGCATGTTTTAGCTATGTTTTTAAACTAGGAATTATTTTGAATGAATAATAAAACAATTATTAAAACTGGACGAAAATTGCTAGAAATCCTGTTCATTATCGCACTTTAGCCTATGAAATCGTCAAAATAAATTTTGAACAAAGAAGTTTTTTGATACAAACCAGATTTTCATCCCATCCATTTTTTTATTTTCATCCCGTCTAGGGTTAGTAGAGATACTCCTAGGTGCTTCATGCTAATGAAACCGCGATAAGCTCAGGCCGTTTAAGCCTTTAGCTCGTGTGCGCCTTTACCTAACGTACCCAGAAACGGGGATCGGAAAAAGACTGAACAAAAACAGGGAAGAAGGACTGGTACTTGTTGTTGTTTTCGTAAAGAGCACATTAAGGTCACGGTTACTTGACATCTTTCACTTTTTCATTATTTTCATTACCTTCATATAAACTAAACCTTTAAGGGCGCTGCTAATTCTGATCCCCAACACCTCACATCGGTAGCCGAACTGGTGCATGCTGAGACAACAGATCAATTCATTTACCCCAAGTGCAGAGGCACTGCCATAGAGAAAATACATGTTGTGTGTCTCTGCTGTCATCATGGACTTGATAAGAAATCCAAGAAGTAATGGTTGGAGAACACGACAAATTGTCCAGAAAATGCCAGCTGCAAAGAGAATTACTAAGTCCTTTGTGGTTAACATCTTCAATACGCTTTTCCAAAGTCGTGGCCAAATATCTTGTCTTTTGCTGTTAGCTGTTTCTTTCGTCCAGTTTGCCCGAAGCCTCTCTGTCAAAAAGCGCGTAGTGTTTTCTTCTTCTAGAGGAAAAAGATCATTTTCATAAATGGCTCGTTCACTTCCTGTCTTCAGCGAAATGTTCATCCATTGGAAAAGAAGGGTAGAGAAGAAACTCTTGTTTGCCATTTTTGTGGTGTCTAAAACAGAAACAAAAACAAAACGAAACAAAAAATCAGATATTAAGGTTTTCATGGCAGTAACAATTATAGTGTAATATTCTTTGAAATCGAGGTGCGAATAGTAAAGCGGCGAGGTAAATATTCCTAAAGCCACTATTCAACGAGATTGAAAAGAGTAATTGTTTTCGCTTATACACACGAAGTGATCTCAACAAAATCAGAGAGGAAACCATTAAAAGGTACGATTTGATTGACGGAACAAATCGCCGAGCGAAAGTTTAAAAATAGATCTTTGCAGAACTTTTTCAAACATGGCAATTCACAAGTTTACCACCTTGCAAACAACAGCGTAATGGCTTAAATGGAACCGTTAAAAGTGTTTTCTATTGACTCGCCAAGTTTATAGTAAAAATAGTTTGTTGTGTCGTTCTTTCGCATGAAGTGCAAATAAAAATGGCGGCTTGGTTGCTCGAGGTAAGACGTCGTCTTTCTGTAGCATTCCTTTTCCTATTTACTTAAAACGTAGAATTTCTGCAAACATTTGCTTTCAAATTTGCTTGTCACTGAAACATACTTCGATTTTGGGGCCAAATTTTTCTGATTAGGAAACGCTGAGTTCACGAAACGGTCTCTTCTACGCAAATAAACGGGAGTTGTAAACAATCCATCAAGCACAAAACTCAGCAACAATGAATGGGAAAACTCCGTTTTAAATCCTCCAAAGTCTTTTCTTGCCCTAAGAAAGGTCAACCCTAGGATTTTGTCGACTTTTAAAAGACCATTCTCTTAAAAAAATGCGAAAAACTCCGAGCTCACACACAATTCACTCGCTGGGAGGTGAATATTGTTGAATAGTTCGAGATAGCGAACTAATCAGATTGCTTAAATCACCAAGATCACTGAGTGTTTATATACTAACAATAATTGTAATACAATTTTTGGTCAATTTCACGATGATACTGATTTTTGTAAGACGTAAAAACCCGGAATTAAAGAAAATTTCGAGAATATGAACCTGGTATAAGATCTAGGAATAGTTTGAACGTATTCAAAAAAATTTGTTCCGCGCCGATTTTTTAAAAACCTATTTGTCAGGCTTTCGAAGCACACTGGGTTTATTTCTTCAAAGTTCATGATTCTTTCCGCACAGGGTATAAAAATACGCGTTAACATACTGGCGCACCTCGGCTGTTAAAGAAGAAAACCTGGACGAACTCTCCTTGAAAATTTGGATAAGAACAAAGATTGGAATATCCGGAGACAACTATTTGCTATATAGCCTCCCCCGCAGACGTTCTTAGGGGTTCGTCACGCATTCCTGCCTCACTAAAGTCTGTTGATTTGAGCGGAAAAAAACTTAGACCAATCACAGCAGACGTCCAGAGCTGGGAAGTACACTTTGGACCTTGAAAAATTTCGCGCCTGACTTAACTCCAAAAAGATCAGAAAGGTCTCATGAAAGGTGAAGACCTTATAGTTTTAGAACAAACTACTCAGTTAACTCACAAGTGTTCGTACTAGAGGCTACCCTTACAATCTCATTGAAAAAAAATTACCTCGGAGGTTAAGTTTACTGAACGGAAGTCAGTGTGAAAACAATTCTGCCTTTTGTTCAGTTACAAAGTAACCCCGCCGTTGTATCACCAAGAGAACAACTTTATGAGCAAATGACATCTAATCCAGCCTTTGCAGAGATATAAAAAAGCCAACGCTTATCTCCTAGATTCTCGTCTGGAGCAAAAATCTTTGATCACGCAATCACGTATCACACTCTACCGAGCTTGTACGTATGTGTTTGACTTGTCAACACTTTGACTTCAACAGCGCCGATTGGATCTCCCATAATCTGCATGTGATCTCCAGCTGATATATGCGAACAATGGTAAAGGAATTTATCTTTCGGTTCAGCAGACGTTAGTGGGGCAGGAACGCGTGACAAAACCCCTAAAACCCCCGGATATAAACGTACTGAAATGTTTTCGATTCATCTTTACGTTTTGGAAGCTGAATTGAAAACCAGTTAATTCAAAACGTATTTTGATCAGCACCCTTATGGCTTATTTCAAAGCGCTTTTTCCATTCCGGTGATAAGGACCTTCGGATATACGCCCTTCATTTATTAGCCCTCCTAAACTCCTTACAAAAATGTATAAGCTTATAAGCAGCGGTTTACGATATTTCTATAGTTACTATCGATAACCTGATGTTGTCACAAGTACCCCGGCCATGCCTGTTGAACCTAATTTAATGTTACGTAATTATTTGCGAAATAGTGAATATTTATTGTTAGGGCTTACATACTAGGTAAATATGCAATTTAAAAGAAAAATTGCAAACCCTACTGTTTTCAATGAAGATCCTGCTAACCGTAAGTCCTTCCCAAGCACCCCGGCCATGCTTGTTGAACCTAATTTAATGTTACGTAATTATTTGCGAAATAGTGAAAATTTATTGTTAGGGCTTACATACTAGATAAATATGCAATTTAAAAGTTAAAAAGTGCAAACCTTACTGTTTTCAGTGAAGATCCGGCTAACCGTAAGTCTCTCGTCTGTAGTTTTTATGTGTGTCACTGGTTTTTGGTCGATTTCTGCTAAGGGTTTCTGTTTTCCCGGCCCCTAACCACCAATATTTAGAGTACGAAGATCGCTAAATAATGAGGTGTTCATACTTCCACCATTGTCCCTCAAAATTGTCGAAGCAGTATTCTATTTGGGAAAATCTACTTATTCCGGAAAAAAGAAATCGTCATTCTGTTCTTTGCAAAGACAAACCTTGTGTCGTTCTTATTCCAATCTTCCTTCAGCCCCCGATTATTTACATCTGTACCTTCAAACCTGTGATGTAATCAGGAGCACCAAACGACTGTTTTCTGTAAAATGTCTGTCGGGAGAAGCAAATATTGCCTAGAATTTTCTATTGCTTGAGGACGGTCAAAAATTTCTAGATGGCCGTTCCATTCACGTAGAATCTTCGAATCATTTCCCTACGATTTTCTGGAGTTTTATTCTTTGCATTAATATCACTGCCCAGGTTAGGCTATTTTTCGTACAAAAAGGAAACCTAAAATGTTCGGATTCAAAAATGTGATGGAGAGAATCAGAAAAATTCTCACTTCCGTAACACGTTACTGCATCGGGAAAATAAGACTGCAGCCCTTGTATTTTCGAAAAGGCTCAAGTTCGCTTAGGATAACCGAACAGCTACAATTTTTATAGCGCAGCTTAGAATGCATTTTTAGAGATCTTAAATTACTATACTGGACAGCCTAAAAGAAGAGTTCAATTTTCGTTGGGTGCCCCTGATGTAATGGCCCTGGTTGCACTGGGGTTATGACTTTAAACGTGCTCCTAAGAAAAGCCAAACGACTCAGGTTAATCATGTCCCCGTCATAGGTCAAGAGAACCCACGTAGTGATATCGTTAATTCAGTGAACACTCTTTTAATGTTTTTTTGTAGTTGTCAGAAGAACTTTTTGCATAAGAAATGAGAAATACACCTACCTTGTGTACTTGTTGAATTTTGCCTTGGTGAAACAAAAATGAGGTTTGAATCTAGAGAGGCAGTTAAGACTTTTAACAGTGTTGGTTGGACAATACAAGGTGTTTTTTGTCAGCCACTTAGCCAGCATCGCATCATGATAGTATCTATAAATATAAGTTAATACTTGCTGTAACCGTACGTGTGTTTTAGGATTGGGATTCTTTGGATCTTGTGGATACATGGAAATTCCATCAGATTAAACTCGATTAATTAACTCTCCAAAAGGAAAATGTTTTAATCGATACCATCTTAACTTTGAGCTTACATCTGAGTAGTCGCAGCAAACGGGACCTTGTTGTTTTGATATCAAGAGATATTGGAAAGGAAATGTAATCGTAACTAAATTTTTATAAGCCGATATTAAAAAACGCTATGGTGTGTCGTTTATAAATATTAGAAAACAAGCTGCACTATTCCTCACTGAAATAGATAACGCGAAGCCGGTTGGGTTGTAGAATATTAAAAAAAAAATTAAAAAAAAATTAATAATAACAATAATAATAATAATAATAATAATAATAATAATTAAAATAGAACCCACACTTATTCAACTATCTATTCATCGGAATATCTTCGTGAAATCTCGATGCCCCTGCCTCGTGGAACATGATGCCTCCAGCACGTGATCAGGGGTCAATTCAATTAAACTTTTACAAGTGTTTTTACAAGTTTATTGTAAAGTGAACCTTATGCTCGTCAACACCGCCTGAATAGTTATACCAGTGAAGGACTGGCTTTCGTCCATTCAAGAACGTACTTATCCGGTCATGGTTTAACTTGGCTATTTTCTCTGAAATAAATCAAGTATTCTAGCATGTAAAAGAAAAACACCTTTGTTCGTGACAAAATTCAATATTTGTTTAATATGTTGGCTGATAAATATTACACACGCAAAATAACGCGAACTACTCCCTGATGAATATCTGGTCATCTCGTAAACTATGCGCGGTCACATCACGAAATCTCTTTCAATGATAGCAATGAGAAGAAGGACGAATATCCTGCTAGAACTCTATCTTACAAGCAGGCACGTACCCACCATGCCTCGATATAAACTAATCATATCGCGTCATAATGTTTGCTTTTAATGCAGGATTGCTTTGAAAGTGTACACCGACAGCGTTGGCGAATGACAAAAAAGCAACGACAACAGCGACAGCGCTTGGTAGCACAGAACGCACAAGGACTAGTTGCGTTCTGCTGACGACGTAAAACTGTTGATCGGTGAAGCGTCAAGCTAAGAGTACATCTACCTTGAGCAGCTCAGTTCTGTCAAAGAGTAGCCAAATGGCTTTTGTCTCGTTGCAATATTAGAAAGACACCAAACTAAGATACTACTTTAATGGTTGCAAGGCGCGAAATACTTCATTACAGAAGTTACTAGTTTGAGTTGTCAGTCCCTAGGCTTACGTTTGAGTATTTGGGTAAATATGTTAAGCCGTTTCTTTACCTCGTCTTTTCAAACGTGAGTCACGTTTGTTGGTTAGTAGGGGTAGAGAATGAACTAGGGGTAGGCAAAGCAAACACTTGCATGGTAATGTAAATTTTGCCGGCTGGTGGTCAGGCACATTCCAAAAATACTTTGGGTGTCTATGACCCCCTCGTTCTTGTAGTATGAAATTAAGGAAGCATCACAGAATTACAAGCTTTTTTTTCAAAACTTCATAAACGCAACTAAACGAAGAAAAATGTGTTGGAAATGATAGACCTGGTGCTGATTTAGGTATCATTAAATTGTAAACCAAATGTAATGATTGCCGCTATAGCCAAGCCTCTCTCTCTTAATAGGGAAACGTCTCTCCACCAGAGAACTAAAATAGTCAAAGACCACTCAGCCGTACAAATGGCAAAGAAGGTACTGTAACGTCAAACTGGTCATTCAAATCGCAACAGTGCAAATAATTCACGTCTGTGTCTTCCGCAAAGAAGGGAGCATGATTGAGTTGCTCACTCAATGCATCCATCTGCAAAGTGGTGACGTCACAAACCGATTCTTGATATATTGTGGCACAGTCAGGAGATGAGCTCCTGGCACAGTGCATTATGGGAAGACTGCATAACCTTCCATTGCTCTGATTTATGGCTTACGTAAATAGAGGTTCTGGAAATGCTATATCCCTTATTCTGGGGCGATATCGCAACCTTTCTCTGATTTTTCATTCTTATAAAATTTGCTTACTAGCTCCTAAGAACCTGGCTACTGCTAGAGTTTGAAAAACCTGTCTGTCTTATTTTTCAGAGGAACGTGATCGGCTTAAGGAAGTGTTATCGAAACGCGAATATCGGCAGCAGATGTTCAGTTTAACCTTCAAACATGTCGTCTACCGTCGACCCTAAAGTTTAGGACAACCAACAATTTCCCCGAGTGTCACGTGAGAGAATAGACACGATCCGTTTCATCTTACCCAAGTTCAAAGACCAAAACCAGGGAACGTTGTCAAACACTGTCTAAACGATCTAAGCTCAGTGGTTAAAAACGTGATCAAACCAGTGTTCATCAGCAGCAAATTGTATAAAAGAAGACCTTAAAGTGTTAGAAATCAAACCCTGTGAATATTGTTAAGGAATGAATGTGTTTTTTGTGAGTGTCAATGTAACCCATGTGATACAGCGTATGTAGTCTGCTCTCCCTTTTCCACTTGCTCCCAATCCTCTACCCCTTTCGACGCCCGCCACGCAGGCTACAGAACATGTGGGATACACTCGGCGCCACCGGAAAGAAAGCGTTGATGATCATAAACAGAAATCGTTTTCTATTTTAATTTATGAACTAAGAACGATATACCAAAGTATCTAAGAGATGGATGCCAAGGCGTAACATTGGGTATTGAAATTGTCAATTACTTAATGCATGCAGACGATCACGTGCTAATGAGTCCAAATCCTGATCGACGGACTGCAAAAATCTCTCTTGAAGTAAATGACATAATTATATAGACGGTTTCTAAAGTAGCAGCCCCCTGAAAGTGATATAGCTAGTACCCAAAAGTAACATCCGTTTTTCGGATTTTCCTTTTCCGCTTGCCCTTTATGAAGCGATATGCCGTGATTTACTGTACCATTCATCAGTGCCTAACATCAAACAAGCTTTATTGATATATTTTGAACTGAAACTCACTGTTCAAACGAAGTTCCGGTAAAGCACCTATTCATGGCTCAAAGTTTACAGTTATAAATCAGCTGTTATCTCAAGCTTTACGCAGATGGAACGGCTTTGTGTTTTCAATTGTGTTTTATTGTACTTGATTCTTAATGTAAGATAATCAAAGTTACGGAGCAGACAGAATTCACAGTGGATTAAAGCAACACCATGCTCATTGCGCAGTCGTGGTCAATTTGTGTGGCTCTATGGCCAGTATCCGGTTAAGGTTTTCAAAACACTAAATGACCGGCAGTCAAATGTTCTCAGTAAATTTCACAAAATCGAAAAATCCCAGCTAATCTAAATTATCATATGTCGATTAAGAAAAGTCAAGCGATCCTGAAATGCTTTATAGATCTCAAGTTTAGCATTTGGTTTACGCTGGGCTCAGAAGACGAAACCAATTGTTTTGTGACACTTAGAACTTTTTTTAACTCCACTGCCGGTGAAAGTCAAAACCATTTGAGAGAAAATCATTGTCATATATATTTGGAAAATTGACTTTTCTCGACCAAAAGAAAGGTTCTGCGTGCCGAGGAATCCTTCAGCAATGATCAACAGACGTCATTTCTCACCTCTACTAATTCTTCGAGTTCGGAGGTGTTCGTCTACGTTTGACTTTCTCTGGAAAAGTCCATCAGCAAATTCACAATTGTGTCAAGAAATAGTGTCTTAATATGACTTAGGGTCTACGACAGTCAACTTCTGCTAGGAAGTGTACATGACAAAATTTGACCGCGGCTGAGAGGGTAACCTCACCTAGCTGGGATCCCCCACATCCATGTAAACAGGCCCTAAAAGTGGTTCAAACTCTAATGTCTTCAGTGCATGACTTGAATAGACTGGAGTTCGGAGAGCAAAATTAAGCACTTCTCAAAAAGACTTATCAAAAAGCTTCCGGAAAAAAAAGCTGTGGGTTCTTACTAAAATTTTCTATGTTTTCCATTTAAGAAATAAAAATCTCATTTAGTTTATCAAAAACTAATGCGTAAGAATATTCCTTGTTTATTGCATATACATATTTCCTACATCATAAGTTAAAATGTAGCTTGCCCGCTTTAAGGAAAATGATTTCAATCTCTGTGATCCACGACAAGCAGTATGCATGGTTAATACCATATTCAGACGGCAACCGTTGACAAGGAAACTTTTACCCCCTTAAGAAATTAGAATACATGGGTTCTAGAGACTAAATAAGTGTCAACTATGAAATATGACGGCAGTTGGCTTCATTGATGTGACCACAGTTACTTGTATGGAGGACCACTCTATTCACAGTTTCTGTCATTTGGACCATTAAACTCGAAGTGCTTTCTTCGCTTTCATAATGATATCAAATCTATCAAACCCATCAACTTCTCCATTTCTCAAAACTAAAATCTTGTCACAGTCTCTTACTGTGTCTAAACGATGTGCTATAGTTATAATCGTGGAATCCTTCAGCTTCTCACGCACTGTCTTCCAGATTGTTTGTTCTGTGTCTGGATCAACGTGTGCAGTTGGCTCATCCAAGATGACGATTTTCTTTTGGTGCAACAGAACGCGAGCCAAGCAAATAAGTTGCCGTTCTCCAACACTTAAATTTGCACCGTGCTCCAGCAATTCATGATCTAACTGACCTTCCAATTTCTCTACAAGATTTTTCACTTGCACCTGCTCTAGAACTCGCCAAAGTTCTGCGTCTTGAAATTGTCCAATCAGATCAAGATTTCTTCTTACCGATCCGCTAAAAAGAGCAGGATTTTGGCCAAGAACGTTTATTGCTCGCCGAGATTCTTGAAGGCTGAGACTCCTTATACTGACATTATCAATCAATATATCTCCGTCAGCTTCAGGCATGCGCAATAGTGCTGCCACAAAAGAAGATTTCCCTGCGCCAGTGCGGCCCACAATGCCAATTTTAGCTCCTCCATTGATGCTAACTGTGATATCCTTTAGACTTTGGGGACCCCCCGGATAGTAAGTCAGGTATACGTTTTTGAATGCTATATTTCCTTCATCAGGCCACATTTTCGGGGCATTCTGTTTCACTTGGTATCCAGGCTCAGATTCAACCTCGGTGTAGGTCATAACTCGCTCCACTGACGTCATTAAATTTTCGACCTTGGATGATTTCCGGACAGTGTAGTGTGTCAGAGTTACAGACTGCACTACGTAAACAAGTGCAAGACCAGCGAAAACTGAAACGCAAATTGATGAAACGTATCATCATTAGATGTGATGTTATAGCCCATAAGCTGACCCTGCATGTGCAGCAAACAAAAGGTCTGTTTCAAACGTCGTGCTACTGCCGTGCAGAGCTCAATGTATTAGAATACATCATAAAAGTTCACTAAACCGCTTGTTATTTAATTCGACGGACTTAAATGCGACGTCCAGGAGGGAAAGGCCATCTCTATTGTTTACATGTGTTTGTCTGTGACCGATTGTTTATTGCTGAACTAAGTTAATCATAAATTTATCAACAGGAGCTTCGCCTTAAGCCTTGGCTAAATCTATATACCTGTGTTATCGTATAGAGTGGTTTTCGTTTGAGTGTCGTAAAACCAAAACCAAAGTAATTACTCTGGCCAATCACATAGGACACAGACAATACATTGAACCAATCAAAACTCGAAGTAATTACATGTGGCTGACGCAAAGCGCGGGAAAATGCATGCGAGCGTGTCACAATTGGCTTTGGTTTTACTTCTGATTGGATGAAAAGGTGGCGCGAATCTTTTAAGCCAATCGCATCGTGTAGAAAGTGCAAAACCAATTACTTTTCGACACTCAAATGACAACCACTCTAAGGCCTAAACTACTCTAGCTTCTGCCTCGCTTCCAGTGGACCTCAGTGATTTTGGGTGTGACGTCTGTGAAAAATATCCATTTTCTTTTCGTTGTAATTGTTTATTTGACTAACTTGGTGTAAATAAGGAAAGAGCAATTCATTCAGTATTTATTTAATATTATTCATGTAATTATTCGGTACATTCAATAATGTACATATATATATCTACTTTTGCTCAGCTTTGTTAGTAATAGGATCCTGGGGGTTACTCCCTTATAAGGGCTTAATGGGGACGTGCGGCCAGCCAGGGTATGTTTTTCGGGATTTTTGTCTTAAACAGGGTACCGATTTTATCAATTTTTGTCTTAAATAGGGTATCTTTTTAAATAGTTTTGTGATTGCCAATGGATTAAATTAGAAAGAGTTTCGATATTCATTGTTGTCTTACACAGGGTATGGTTTCGGGTTAAATGTCTTAAACAGGGTATCAAAAATTGGAATTCTGTCTTAAACAGGGTGGGAAAATCAGCGATTTTTGTCTTAAACAGGGTCAGGGTATGAGAGGCCCAGCCACACCTCCCCACCCAAGGATATATCAAGTACCCCCCCCCCGGTAATAGGATTACCGTCGGTTGCATCTAAGCGTGGACACGAGACAAAAAAACATGTTCTAATAGGGTGCCAGACAGGACGTCTTTTGCTGCCAAACATTTGAAGTTTGACAGCCGTTAAAGGAAATTGTCGCGCTTAAGGTAAGTTCTTTATAAGTTTTTGATCAGCGCGTTCCACTTATGTTTCATTTTCCTCAACTTTCAGGCATTTTTATTTCTCGCTCAGAAACAGCACATTTGCCTCCAGAAATTATTCTTATCGTCTAAATATTCTTGCAAAGAGTATTTTGTTGAGCGAAAACAAATCAAGTCGACAACAGTCCCCTACTCAAAACGTCGCAACATGTCATGTTTGTACCCAGTTAGAACATGTTTTTTCCTCACGTGTACACGCTTAGATGCAACAGACGTATTGTAATTCGCATTTGACCATGTTTTAATATGTTATTAGTTTGCGCAATATCTAGCAATAAATCTTATTTTTATTTTTCTTATTGTTGTCATCAGATGATATCTATCTTCAGCAGTGGCACATTAACAGGCACCGCTTGCACATGTAAAAGATGAGTGGTCCTCTCTATTAAACTTATTAAGCGTAAGAAATCAAGTCACCCATTTAAACATGTGTTTTCGTTTTCCGCTTTAATAAAATGAAATTATATTTACCAGCATCTTGAGACACCAAAATCGCAGCGAGAGCCACTACACCAATCAACAGAGCGGAGAGAAAATCTAAGCGAACACCGAGCCAACGGTTACTGGCAACTACCATGATAAACGACTGGGTATGAACATCTTGATAACTAAAAAACAAACAAAATTGGCATTTCGCAATTAACAAATGCAAATTCAAATGTTAAAATGTTAAGGTCTTTAAAAAGACATTGTTGTGAACGAGTTCCTATAAACTGACATTGGCAACTTCTCCGCCCAGGAGACGAACCGGCAAAAAACTGCAAGCGTTACTCTGGCGCTTTATCTTTCGCAAGAGGCAGTCATGAAAGTCTCCGGAATCTGGCAACAAATAACTATTATAGTTGAAACTTATTCTAGTAGTGGTTACCTGCAAAACTTATCCACGAAATCTTTCTCCCTTTTCCTTGTCCGAATAGTCTCGAGTCCATCAAGCGTCTCTGAAAAGTGAGAATAAACAGGACTACGACAAATGGATTCCAGCCTTTGTAGCTCCCTGGATGTCCTTAAGTAGTATCTTGAAATGAAAGCGGTCAACACAGTCATTGGCACAATAGCAAGCAGAATCCAAGGATTTGCGGCAGTTGGTAGAAGGACAGACGTCAACATTACCAAAATCAGCTGGATGGATTTCAAAAATGTTTCGGGTAGTAGTTCATCCATGCAGCCTACATCTTTAGAGAACCTATTCATGATTCGTCCTACGGGATTTGAATCAAAGAAAAAGACCGGTGCTTGTAGAATAGCCACAACCATTTTATCATGGAGTCGCTCAGAACATCTTAACAATGCCAAATAGACGCCAAACGCTCGAACGACGAGAAGTATGAACGATGCCCCAACAAGAGAGCCAAAGATGATAAGGTTTTTCTTATTTCGCAGATCCTCCAAACGCATTGTCGTCAAGAACGACAGCCAAACATCGCAGGAAACCAAGATTGCTAAACAGAAGGCAGGAGAAGAACAACATAAGAAACCTCTTAACAAAATCATCTTAATCACATAAAAGGGTGAATCACGAATGTATAAGCAGCAGTCGGTAAATCACAGGTAATTCGCCAATAGAGGGAATGGGGAGCTTGTTTTATGAGTGGTACATTAATGACCATAAAAAATCATGAAGGCCAATTCAAGGTATTCCGCCTATAATAGTGAAAGCTAATTGAAGGTATTCCTCCTATAATCATTTTTTCAGCACATATAGAAAATAGCGATAGATATCTTTTGGCTATTCAAAGTCATCTGATAAACCTCTAATATTATTTTAAACTTTTTAGAACAGAATTTAAGGACATTTTATCCATAAAATAATTGTTCTGCATTTGAATAACTCAGGCAGTTTTATGTTCTTAAAGTTGCAAGCCGCGTTGGAGATGTGTGTGTCAATTAGTCAACAATCTGCACGTTACCTTGAGTGATAAAACAGAAGCAAATTCCTGCGATGATAACCAGCAAAGGTACTCCGCTTCTGAAGTAGTTCCAGTAAAGTTTAGGTGATACCACGCCGATAGCTCGATCTTCTTCCGATAGCTGCAGGCCGTCGACGTTATGCGGTGCCGTTGCACCTCTCAAGTCAGAAATTTGATCGTCCTGCTCACTTTCTTTTCCAATGCCATTATCAGATTCTTTCACTTGCTCATACAGCGAATCGACAGTTGTATTCAGAATACCATTTTCTTTCAGCTCAGTGAAACTTCCCTTACCCACCATCCGGCCTTTAGATAATACAATAACGTCATCGGCTTCGCGCATGATCCTTTCTTGATGGGAAGTTATCAACCGGGTTTTCTCTCCCAGTAAGCCTTTGATGCATTCAATAAAGATGTGATGGCCAACTTTAAAGTCTACAGCAGTTAAGGGATCATCTAACAAGTAAAGGTCTGCTTCGGTGTAGACAGCGCGTGCCAAGTTTACTCTTGCCCGCTGGCCTCCACTTAGAACCGCACCACGCTCTCCAACAATTGTCTGGTCACAATCTGGGAAACCCTGAATGTCTTGGGTCAAAGCGCAAGCTTCAATGACTCTGTCGTACTTGGATTTTTCGTACTGTTCGCCAAACAAAATGTTTTCTCTAATAGTTCCAGAGAATATCCAAGCAATCTGTGGCACATAAACAACAGTTCCTTTGCAGGTTATGGCTCCGTTTTTGTCTGCTATTTCCCCAGCAATTGCTGACAGAAGAGTAGATTTGCCACTGCCCACGGGTCCTGTTATAGCTATTAAACTTCCCTCTCTAGTTGTGAAACTGATACCTTGCAAAACGGACTCATCCTTCTGATCAAGCTGTCGGTGTATCGTTAAGTTTCTGACTCGTAAGATAGTTGGTTCTGTTAGTTCTGCTACGATGGAAGGAAAAATCACTTTTTCAGTTTCTTCTCTCTGATTTTCCGTGGCGTTTGCTGGTGGTAGATTAGTCAAATGAAGGAAGTCCTGTATTCTACTGAGTGAGACGTAAGCATCGTATGAAAGGAGGAAAAAATTAGATAAACCCATACTGACGCTCATTCTTAGCAGATTGATAAAGGAGAGTAACATGAAGACGGTAACTGGTGTTAGGGGCTGCCCAGTTAGAACAAGAGTGATAACAGTCACCAGGGACGCCATTGGTGTTGAAATGTATTCCACAGCAGCAAAGCACGACAGAATGCCACTTTTCTTACGGATCCAACGGATTTCATCGCTTTAAAGAAAACAGACATGAGATGTCAAACACTTATTTTTTCTTATTGATATTAGTTCCTGTTTCGATACTATTCGTGATTGTTGTTTTAGAGCCCGCTTCTGTTATCATTGATACTGATATAATAATGATGCTAAATGAGGCTTTAAAAATGGACGAGGATGCAGCTGAAGGTGAGAGGAAAAAGAAATTATAATTAAGCAATCACAAAAAGTCAACAATAACCAGCAGCCACACCTAAAACCTATCCGTTCTCTCAACTAGGTAGACACTATGACATGGAGCTGGGAGGCATCTACTTGGCAATTATTTGTGTTTCTTTGCTCTTTCTTAGCTTGTGTTTCGACTATAAAATCCCTACTCGTTGGCTAGAAAAGAAACTAATACGTTTGAGACTGGCATGAACATCCTCATGCATCACGGGACGAAAAACTGGATTTGCACAAATTTGCTCATTGCAAATTTGTCGGCAAATACCGAGGAGTAAACATATTGCAAACACGGTAAATGCCACATTTGCCTAGTTATTTATATTGACAACCCCTGTTTTTTGGTATGCAAACTTTGGAATTTACCATCTTGGCCATATATTTACTCCTCAGTATTTTCATATTTGCGAGATATTTGCAAGGAGCAAATTTGTGTAAAGCCATTGTTTCGCCCAATAAACTATGTTTATCATAGTAATTATTGTTGTTGGTGGTGTCGATTATGATAGTTATTAGTGGGTTTACTTGTCCTCCAACCATCCATTTCAAGTTTATTACATAGTGCTACGGCTTATTTCATTACAAAGTGCTATGGTCTGTTATTACAAAGTGCGACAAGTGTTATCACAAAGTGCCACAGGTATTACAAATTGCGACGATTATAATTACAAAGTACGACAGAACAGTGTTCAGGATCAAAGGATGGAAAGCCAGCATTTCACCCATACCGATATCACTGAAGGCTGCAGGTTAAACAGCAGCAATTGGCTTTATTGCAGAAACAAAAACTCGCCCCATGCAAGGTAACCCCAAACAATCTTGGATTCTCCGGCACACAATTGTGGATTCTGGATTCCTTCAGTTGTCAGTGGAGCTTGAATTCCAGATTTTAAAAAAATGAATTTCTTGGATTTCTGAATCTGGATTACCTTAAATCGGGCTAAAAAACAAAACAGGACTAAAAAAAGGTTGCCAGGAAAAAGACGGCATATTGATCGAAAGAAATAGCTCAGTGGTAGCCCTGGTCGCCATTTTCCTTACCTCCGTACGTTCTTTATCTTTTTTCTATATTCATCTTCCCATGCGTTCGTTTTGATGGCGCGGATCCCAGACACAACCTGGTTGATCAACGAGATGCGGCGGTCAGAAACCGATGCTGTTCGCAGGCGCAGTACAGCTCCACCATGGGACAATCCACTAAAGCATGGCAGAAGAATACACAAGAAGATAAATCCCACCATAACCTGCCATCCGATGAAATAGACAGCTAAAAATGCTAATATTAAAAACTCTAAAAAGAAGGGAGCTGCATTGAACAATGCCCAGAAAGTTTCGCCTTCCAGTCGCTGAACATCGTTCGATACGAGGTCTATGACGCGGCCAGTTGAAATCCTCAGCAATGAATCCTTGCTTAGCAGAAGAGTCTGCAAAAAAAAAAATCATGTATTCCTCGTAAATACTCTGCGGAAGCAATAAAAGAAGGTTACATGGTCAAAGATCGAAAATTAACCAAATCATCGATTGTTGATTACTTATTAGACCTTAAATTAAAACAAGCAAACAAAACATAAAACTAAACAAAGCGAAGAGTGGGGCGTGGTCACATCAATCCCCAACCCCTAGCCTGCGAGAACATTCGTTTCTCCTCGCTCTTCGCCGTTGGGGACGTTTCGCGCGGAGGAACGTCTTCGACTCAGCGACAGAAATTCCATACTGATGACGTAGAATCTGTCCGGAATCCGATCAGAAGCGCTTATTGGTCAACGGAGTAGCTACCTTGTTTTAGCTATTGTTTACGAATGACAGACAAAAGACAAAAGGCCACAAAGGTTAAATCTAAACGCGAAGAATCTCAAACAAAACAGCCAATATTTGTGGAATATAGTCTTCTTTTGAGAAAGCATTTGAGTTTTGCTGGAGCTCGTTGGCAGATGAACACAACACTCCACCAAAATGGACCAGAAGACACATAAAATTGGTCAAATTTATATTTGGAACCTCATGACTACTGGATTTATAATGTAAACATTGATTTGCGTCATCAGTATGGAATTTCTGTCGCTGAGTCGCAGACGTTCCTCCAAGCGAAACGTCTCCAGCGGCGAAGAGCGAGGAGAAACGGATGTTTTCGCAGGCTACCCAACCCCTAGAGGGGGTGGTTCTTATTAACCGTCGACGACGTCACATTTGTGATTGACAGAATGATAAAAAGGCTCATGTTGAATCTTGACGATAACATTTAGCATTTAAGGGAGTTCGGTGATCTGCTTCTCAGAGAGAAAAGAGTGATTCTCTAGTAAAAGAATCTGTCAGGATGAACCTGAGAAAAAAAATGCAAACTAGGAAGAATGAGGTAAAAGTGAAGGAAATAGAAAGCTACGTGCAAACGAACGCAACAAATTCCAACAAAACGCAACAACATGCAACAGGGCGTGCAAACGGACGCAACATGCAACACCCAACAATGTTGGAAGTTATTGGCCAAAAATGTTGCGTCTATTTGCGCGGGGCTAAGTGCTGTAAATATGCCTTAAGGCTGGTCCTTGCTTGTCACCTGATATTTTTTCTTTCGTTACCTTCATATAAACTAATCCTTTAATGGCGCTGCTAATTCTGATACCAAAGACCTCACAGCGATAGGCAAATTGGTGCCAACAGACAGAACCGATTAATTCATTGATCCCGAGTGCTAAAGCACAGCCATAGAGGAGAAAATGATGCTGTAGTTCTGCCATCATCAGAGATTTCACGAGATATCCAAGAAGTAATGGTTGGAGAACGCGACAAAATAGAGGCACTGTGACAGTTACAAAGAGGATCGTTGCTTCCCTGGTGGTGAGCATCTTCAACACACTTTTCCAAAGTTTTGGTTGTTTATCATGCCTTTTGCTGTTAGCTGTTTCATCTGTCCATTTCGATTGAAGCTGCTCTATCAAAAAGCACGCGGTGCATTCTTCGTTAAGAGATAAAAGATCATTTTCATCGATAGCCCGTTCATTTCCAGACTTCAGAACATCGTTCATCCATCGGAATAAAAACGTGGAGAGAAAGCTGACATTTTCCACCTGGGCAGTACTGCTGACCCTTCTGTAACTTGTCTTTGCCATTTTTCGGGTGCATAAATCTAAAAACAAGAACAAAAAACATGAAAATGGCGCAAAATTACCTATTTTAGGCCCATTTGAAAGGTGGTACTACTGCAGAGCTATTCTGACTCAACGTACAGTAGCACGACTACTCTAACACGACTCTAGCATGACATGGTTTCAGACGTTGAATATATTTCAGTTGAATAAAGTAGCGGTTGCCGAAAACAAGAGATAGAGAAAAATAAACGGTTTAAACAACTTTTTTGAAAAATGTTTCTATGATAATTCTAACGCACAAACGCACATTATAACATATGAATCAAATTCATATCAAACCAGATCGTACTACTGCCGTACGCCGTACGCATTTTGACCGTCAAAAAATTGGGGGATTTTAATTTTCTTCGAGGGCTAGCTCCGGGCCTTTTGGATGGATTTTCGATCGAAACGTACGAGAAGAAGCGTGAATCTTTCGCCCTTTCTGCTGCGTGGTTTGAAAGCGGAGTGATGCGCTTTTCTGGGAGAACTCGCTCCGGCGCTGGAGCCGTTTAAAAAATTGATTCACCCTTGTCCATTTATTAAGAGGAAAAGCAGCGAACTTAAAATCCTTCAAAACTGCTCAAAATACAACTTCCGTGAGGCAAAATTTACCGTTGGTAATTTAACACAACGTTTATTTAGCACTGGTCCTTGCACATATTTTGCGAATATGTACCGCTACAGATAAAACAAACGGTGAATCCAGTACAATTACAGTATAAAATTACATCGGTTACACAAACAGATTGTGGACAGATTATGTGAGCTCCCTGTGGATGAATAGTTGGCAGTTAACGGTTCGATGAACGGTACATGTATTGCTTATGGACAGTATATGTCCTCACCTTTACTTTAAGAATAAAACAAGAATATTTTCAGCCTAAGATCGGCAGACAAAATAAGAATATTAGGCCTAGGCCGGAAAAATAACATTCTCATATTAAAAAAAGAGTGCATGCAGTCCTCCCATAAACAAAGTGTACTTTACTCAGTTGAGGACTCGAAAATAAAGAATTGGCTTATATTCTATAACTTACTGTTAAAACAAACGCAAGGGTGTAGATCGGACAGAGAAAACCAACCCTAAAAAAAACCAACACGGTTTACTGACTCTGTCTTATGAGAAAGCCCTGATGACTCGAATCATTTTGTTTTTCCTCGTCCGTCGTGAACTTTTCATCCTTTTTTTTATTCTTATCATATTCTTAAGATTTTGCAAATTTCAGCCTCGACATTCTTATAAAATATAATCTTATAGAAAGAAAATCTATCGTCGAATTTCGGTTTAATCGCTGTTTTCGTCAAAGAAGCCTTTTAGATATAACAAAAAGAGCTCAGGGGTGCGTTTCACCCCCATTCACATGTTTTCGTGTTTCCTAGGTTTGGTTTTACGGTACATTAATTCGCCTTGTTGATACATCTTACGCATGAAGCAAGCCCCAAAATTGTACCATGTAAATCGGCCTTGACGTTGGAAGTGGTATTAATCTTGAGGTTATAGCTTTTTAGAGTACTATATGTATTTTTTAAAATTGCCTCAGTGAAACGTTTTCATTTCAAATGCAGTGCGAGCTCGTTTTTAGTGTTGATGCATTCTTCTCGAATTTGCATTTTTTAATTTGAATAATTGAAGAAATGCCAACACGACTACCGTTGAAGGACTCTCAAACCACGGGTAAAATGCTGAACAACTGCGCGGCAGTTATAGTTCTTATATACACGAAATAATTAAAAACGTATCTTTGTTCTCCAGCGGCGTACATGTACCGCTGAAAAAACTCCTTACAAGCCTTAGTTGAAATAGATGGCCATCCGAAGGCATTGCTCCGGTTCTTAAATGCAGTCAGCTGTATCCTTACATGGATAAAATTTTTTTGGTCTTCAGCTATAACCATTTTACTTGTGATAAGCAAGAACCAGAACTGAACTGAAATCTTAAATATGGTGTAACCTCAGTGCTCTATCTGATCCCTTGGTCTCGGATGTACGTAACTGACCTAACTTGCCAAATTAAGGAAACGACCGAACAGTCAGGGAATGACTTGAGTCTCCATTCAGTCATGCGGACTTTCCTGACCCACCGTACCCGCAAATAATGGCAGATTCTTCTTTAAACAAAGTGTTTCTTCTATATATATCTCTGTTCATGTCAACAATAATTTCAAAAGTACTTACCTGCAAATCGTGTTAAATGATGTCCTCGTGAAAAAAGGGTCTCGACAAGTTTCCCAGACCATTCTTCAACTTAATGGTGAGGGTTATTAAAGTAACTCGGTAGAGCGTAAAAAAGAATTGTTTATATGCAAATACCTCAAGTATGGAGGTTGTTGAAGCATCAAGCATTGCCTGAGGAACTCAGGAATAATTCATCATCAAAAGGAATGAAAAAAAATAATATTCTGCCTTTGTTAACGATGTCAAATGTTTGCATACTGCTTAATGAATACTTTCAACATACAAGGGAAACTACGAAAAAACAGTTAATAGTAAGTTGCAAGCCGGCATAGACTATTACAAGAGGATTGTGAGCAGCAGTTTAAGCCATTCAGCTGTAACGCAAATGTAATATAGCCTACTAAGTATTTGCAACATAATTATTATCGAATTTTGCTTTCGAATTCAGTTGCGTTCAACCACTGGAAAAGAATAATCATATTTGTTTCTTTGCTGCACTGAAACCAGAATTCGTTCTTCAAACATATAGCCGCATGGTTCTCGGTTACTTCGAGGTCACATCACTCTCATGACAACGCGAGAGGCACGCGAGAGGAGACGCGAAAGCGGGGGGCGGCCCCTCGCGGCTTTGCCGCTCGTTCTTGCGTTCCATAGCGCGGCTTGCTTCGCTCGCCCAAATAGGAGAGCTTGCTCGCAGGCTAATCCGAGCGCATCAGTGGTGACCGCGCACATGAAATCCTTAACGAAGATGGGCTACAGAACAAATAATTTATGACTGGTTCTTTGCATTGGAAAACTAACTAATTTTGTTTCCCTCGACTTGCAATGTTAATCTCAACATAGACTGTTTACCAAGGGGCCTTTTCTCGAAAGGCCCTGAAACTGTTCGGGCCCGGAAACAAATTTTAAAATCAAAACCTGTTGAATAGTGGCACAGTTCCTAGCTCACAAACCAGCCACTTTTGCTTCGTTAAGTGATCGCTTTATTTTATCATTTTCAAAATCATTGAAACTTTGATCGTTAATGCAAACACAGCAAACACAAAACATGTTCCGGGCCCAAAACCTTACCGGGGCTTTCGAGAGAGAGAGAGACGAGTGGGGACAAGTAAGGATCTGAACTATGATATGCTAAGTGACAGTGTAAGTGAGCGAGTCAATAGTCATGTCTCTTCAATTTTAACCAACATCTTAGACATTTTTACGAATTAAGTCAGCTTACCTCGGAACCCACTAGGATTACTCCAAGCTCAAGGACCCTAACTGAACTTTGTTTAAGAAACTCTCCAGGTAAAACAGTAAGTTCCGGTGTCCTTCACCTTGGTACTCACTTGTCTTCCTTACCCGTAAGTCACGTTATGTACGAACGCGCGTTCATCGTGCGATCGAAACACTCATGCAAATCATTGATAAACACGCGCCAATTAAAAGACAGCAAACAAGCAAAAAGAACTCCCCATGGACCACGTATGAAATACGTAAGATCTACAAGAGGAAGTTTAGCCGGCTAAAGTTTGAAAAAATTGCTGAAAGCTTCCGGTCTACCATTTCGGGTTCCGAATTTATAACGTTATCGTCAATCTTAATTCTCGAGATGCTTCATTTTTGACAATTGCTGTTGCCGATGAAGTTCCACAGCACAAGTTTTAACAGAGAAAACGGAAGCAATTTGGACCACTAGTTTCAAAAGAACAGCGAAAATTGAGGTAACAGAAAGTCGGTGTGCACCAGTCAATGTAAACCCCCAAGTTAAGTGCGGTATTTTTCCAGCAGAAGGTCCACGCATGGGACAAAGCTTTAAATGTAATTTTTTCAGGGGCACCCAACTTCAATTTTCGGAAAATATCTGTTCGGAAGACGATTTGAGATATAGAATTTTCGGAACATTTGTTGTAAAATTTCTTGCTTTCCTGCCTCTCCTAGGATTTTCGAAGATCTAAAACATGGTATAATTACCCATTTTTAACGGATTTTTACCCTATAAAGGTCACCTAGAATTTTCGGGAGCCTTTTTTCTGGCTGAAATTTTCGAAAAGGTACGTTTTGATCCCTGTAACTTTCGGATCACTAAACTTTCACCTAGGAAATCCGAACAGATGAAAATTGTTTAGGGGGTAAAAATATGCCTATATCTACCGTTTAAATACTAAAATACATCTAACGATGCTATGTTTAAGTGGTTTTGAACTATATTCTCGTTGGTTTCCCCTGATATTTTGGTAAACTGCTCGGTCATCCTAGTCACATCCTAGAAGAACTTGCCACGGTTCCAACTTGTCTTTATTACAGTTATAACGAATTACGATTACGGTTGCTAAAAGCGAAACAAACATACAAATTACTAAGGAATACAAATGACAGCTATGAAACGACGAAAATACAGGAAACGGAAAGAAACTAAGCGAAAATACTTACAAACGTTGTGTGACTTGAAAGTTGAACTCGAAAAAGGTACGATGGCTATTAAACAAAACTGAACGAAAACTGCGATGATGTTGCCGTGAACGCTAAAGCGAAATGAATCTAAAATAAACGATGAAACTTACAAAATGATCTAAAAACAAAGAAAATTATGCAGAGAAATCTAACAGAATATGAATAGCGACAACAGAAAGGAATGTGAAAGGAATGTGCAACTATACCAACAACATCGCTTTCACTGTCAACAACAACAGTCCTATTCAGGCCTACGTTCACCCGGACGATCAAACTCAATCTACTTTTGAAATGACTCCTGGGTTCAAACCTTTCACAGTTATACCAAGAACTAAACACTAAACATATTTGACGTGGAATGCGGCCGTGACAATACGAATTCAGGTAAAAGATTCAAGAAGATATTTAAATATTCGTTAGAATTTTCAATAAAATACACCTTACCTTATTTACTTTACTTGTTTTTGCTTGCTGTGTGGATCGCTTAAATCGCAACAAGGGGGTCCGCAATGGATCGGGAAAATAACCACACAGTAGCACGAGAAAACAAGTAAAATAATAAGGTAAGGTGTCTTTTATTGAAAACTCAGCGAGTATTTATCTTCTTCAATCTTTTACCTGAATTCCCATACAAATCCTTTATGTTTACAGCCATTTTAAGGATTACGCAAATGAAACCGCCATGTATTAATGATTAAAGTCTCATTTTGAGCTTGGGTTGCCTGTGATTACATAAGTTTTCAAAATTGTACATGAAGGGCAAGGTCATCTAGAAATTTTTCTAGCCGTCCTCAGGTAAAAGAGAATTCTAATTAATATTTGCTACTCCGAACTGATTCTTTACAGAGAGCAGTCTTTGGGTGCCCCTGGGAAATGGGCGAAAGCAGAAATTAAACCTAATTTAGGCAATAGACTTACCGGCATCCTCTAGTTGTTGTAGTTCATCGGTTAACGACTCGAGTGATTGATCAAGCGAGTTATGAGAGCATGTTTCAGATGTTTGGTCGGAAGGCACCACTGTAGCTTGTGTGGGCTGTAGTGATCGCGTCTGTAGTGCGTTTATCTTCTTTTGGAAGCAGCTATCGCGCGTTGGATGGCTCTCCCTTTGCGCCGAGGTGTCGCGAGGTTCCAAAATTATTACCGATGAAGATGATTGGATCGCAGATGGGCCACATCTTTCAATCTCCTTGACATCTTCCTCATAACGGCTTTGTTTTTCTGGAGTTAAAGCTTGTTGTTTTGGCGCTTTGGAACCCATTTTTTTTTTTTGCCCTACAAGGACGACAAAAAAATTACAGAACGTTGAAACAGTAGAAAAGCCAGACTTTCTCCCCTGGATGTTCTCAAAGCCCGTTTCCGGTTTCTGCTCACGGGTTAGGCAGTTGGCAACTTGACACTCCACATTTATACATATTCACGTCAGTAGCCTACGAAAACATCCGTTTCTCCTCTAGCCTGTGAACAGAACTAGAGGCTCAGTTTGAGATGTGGGCGTATATAGGAGAATTTTAAGAGTATCATCAGGACGGAACAAAATCAATGAAGAAGTTTTAAAGAAGGCAAATACAACAAGTTCATTATTACCAACTTTTCAAAGAAAAGAAAATGCCAGTATTTGTGTACACGTAATAAGAGCGAGGTCGATCCAAAAATTGTTACTGGAAGGTAAAATTGAAGGGAAGAGAGAACAGGGGAGACCAAGAGTTACCTGGATGAAAAACATCAATGAATAGTTAGGACAGACCAAAAACGGATGCGTAAGAAGAGCGGAAGATCGGAA